AATATTTGTTTATTAAATGCACCAATGACGTAGAAGGATAACAGAAAATAAGTTAACAAATAATTTCTAAAACATTTTTGGACCCAAGTTCACATTGTGTAGTAGGTGCATATAGAGAATAGTTTTAGAAAGGAATTAAATATGGCTTCAGTAACCTTTCATCTAAAGACGATATACTTGAAGCGCAACTTGAAATGTAGAGAACATGAATACATTTTCTTCTGGCGCAAAGAATTAACTTTAGATTGATTTACAAAGTAGCCAAAATAGAGATCAGCAAAATGCATCAAAGTAATTCATTTTCAATTGCTTTTTTCAGAATGAGAATAATTGATCAGTATTCAGAGAGAGAGATTCTCAGTTTCATTTCTTTCATTATCTTTAACGCTGCCATCTAAAATAAATGCTCAATATTAACTTTCACTTTATCAAAAAAATCATTTATTAAGCATATCCCTTTCAAATATTAGACTTTGATGAGAGTATTCTGATTGAAACATAATATATCTTTATAAATTTGTATTTTGTATAAATGACCAATGTAATAAAGTGGTTTATAATTAATTCCAGTAATAGCGTAGACTAACCAACACATTCAAAAAAGTAATATTGCTCATTTAAAATTTAGCTGGATTTATCAGAGTGGGAAAACCCAAGAGTGGCCAAGAGTGAGTTTATTTTCAATAAAAATATTCATGCTGGCAAAGCAAGGTTGTTTGTCACTTTAACTACTCTCCTGTTGCACAAAAACAAAGAGAATTATGTTTTGTTATTACTAAGGGAATTAAAGCCCTTTTATATTTATTAACTGGGCCAATTTTACTAATGGTAAGCATAATTTGAAACTATTGTTACGCTTCATGTTTTTGTTTTTCAGGGAAGTACATATTGCATTGCACTAAAGAACATTAAAAAAATTTATCTTATGATATTTGTCAGGCCTACGGACATTTATAGATAGATACATTATAGAACATAGAAAGTACACATTTATATATAGACATTATAGAAAGTAGTTCCATCGTTTTTTTTTATCATATAGTGTTGCGGCCAACTTTATTTTGAGTAGTTTTGTGTAAAAGGATGTTAGAGCAACTGACATACCATTGATACCCCAAATCAAATTGAACTTGAACTGAAATTGATATAATTTCCTTAAAAAATAGTTTTAAAAGAAGAGTAACAGAAGTTATTCTCTAAGTCTAACCTATAGTTTTTGGTGAGTCAATATAGAATAATTGTATTATTTAGGGATGGTCAAGTCTCGAAATTTCGGGAAATTTTCGGGAAATTTTAAATCTCGTTACACGAGACAAGATTTCTTTTTGGCCGAGATTTTTATCGAGACGAGAATAAAAAAAAAATTAAAAAATTAAAAACGCCTGCAGAAAGTCAATGCAATACCCGCAATACAGGAGTGTGTTGTACTTGCGTTTCCTTTGCGAAGGCGTTCTTATTTAATTAATTCTTCAAAAATGTAAATATTACTTTAATTATTTTAATAACATTTGAGAAGTTTTGTTAAGTGTTAGCAGTGTGTGGAATGTTTTATTACTATAAAAAAGTCAAAACAAGTAACTATTTTATAAAAATTAATATTTTCTTTTATGATTTATTTTATTTTAGGATAAGTTGAACTCTATCCTAACTGATATCACTATGTTTCCTAATCGTAGGCATTTTTAATAATTTAGGTGTGATTAATTAAAAAATGTTATGCTGATGTTTTTTAATAAAAGAGTACCTGGGGACCGAGCTTTGCTCAGGTAAAATCATTAGTTTAATATGAAAGCAGTCTTAGTATTGCAGATACATTAATCCATTCCCAAACTGCACACTGCTCGCCTTTACCACTTCGTTCACCACTTCCTACGTCGTGAGTCTGTTTCCTTCCCTTCCCATAGCATTTTAAGATTGCAGATACCTTAACCCAATCGTCATAAAATGTTCCCGCACTCCGGACTGCTCGCCTTTGACGCCTTTACTACTTCCTTCACCACTTCCTACATCTCAGACCTGTTTCCCTCCCTTTCCATAGCATTTTAGGATTGCAGATACCTTAATCCAATCGTCATAAACAGTTCCCGAACTCCGGACTGCTCACCTTTACTACTTCCTTCACCACTTCCTACGTCGCGGATCTTTTTATCTCCCTACTCATAGCATTTTAAGATTGCAGAAACCTTAATCTAATCGTCATAAACAGATCCCACAATCCAGACTACTCGCTTTGACTACTTCCTTCACCACTTCCTACGTCGCGGCCCTGTTTACCTCCCTCCCATATCATTTTAAGATTGCAGATACCTTAATCTAATCTTCAAAAGCAGTTCCCACACTCCGGACTACTCACCTTGACTACTTCCTTCACCACTTCCTACGTCGCGGACCTGCTTCCCTCCCATCCCATAAAATTTTAAGATTGCAAATACCTTAATCTTATCTTCAAAAACAGTTCACACACTCCGGACTACTCGCTTTGACTACTTCCTTCACCACTTCCTACGTCGCGGACCTGTTTACCTCCCTCCCATATCATTTTAAGATTGCAGAAACCTTAATCTAATCGTCATAAACAGATCCCACAATCCAGACTACTCGCTTTGACTACTTCCTTCACCACTTCCTACGTCGCGGCCCTGTTTACCTCCCTCCCATATCATTTTAAGATTGCAGATACCTTAATCTAATCTTCAAAAGCAGTTCCCACACTCCGGACTACTCACCTTGACTACTTCCTTCACCACTTCCTACGTCGCGGACCTGCTTCCCTCCCATCCCATAGAATTTTAAGATTGCAAATACCTTAATCTTATCTTCAAAAACAGTTCACACACTCCGGACTACTCGCTTTGACTACTTCCTTCACCACTTCCTACGTCGCGGACCTGTTTCCCTCCCTCCCGATATCATTTTAAGTTTGCAGATACCTTAATCTTATCTTCAAAAACAGTGCCCACACTCCGGACTACTCGCCTTCACAACTTCCTTCACCACTTCCTATGTCGCAGACCTGTTTCCCTCCCTTCCCATATCATTTTAAGATTGCAGATACCTTAATCTAATTGTCATAAACAGTTCCCACACTCCAGACCGCTCACCTTTAACTACTTCCTTCATCACTTCCTACGTCACGGACCTGTTTCCCTCCCTTTACATTGCATTTTAAAATTTCAGATACCGTAATCTAATCGTCATAAACAGATCCCACTCTCCACACTGCTACCCTTGACTACTATGTATCGAGTTCAGTTTAATCTTTGCTTAAACAACGGATGTTTTTCCTTTTGTACTGTATTTTGTTTTGATCGTATACTGTGGATAGAGAACTTCTGCGCATGTGCAAGCTAAGGTGCCCGTGGGTACAGAACGCCAAGTTATGTCTTAAAATGTAAACAAAATAACAACAATGGCGGAATGTTTTCTCATAAGGCCCATGTTAAATTTTCAAAAGTTTGTACTCATATTATGGTGAAAATAGATTTTTCCTGGCTAAACCACTGGTCTAGAACTTATTTTTGACACAGAACTTAGTTATTCCGTAAATATAAACGTTTTTGTAAGAGCCGATTCCCAGATCGAGTTGACAAGTATTCAAACTTTACTCGTATTATATATAGGATGGTAAATATTCTTGCCTATTATCATTATTTTTGTATTTAAACAGTCATCTAACAATGTTACAAAATCAGGTAAAAATTCCGAACGTGCATTTCCCGTTGTGTATGAGAAGGGAAATCCCGTCTCGATCTCGTCTCGTCTCGTCTCGAACTAAAAATCCAATCTCGTCCATCCCTAGATTATTGTATTACTTATAATTTAAATAGTTATTTGAGTAACTAGTAAGTGAGGCACTTTGCTGCACTTTGCTTTTGTTAACTGAGAGTTTCTTGAGTGCAGCAAAAACAATTAATTTGCACTCATGTTACACATTATATTTTTACTATAGGCTAGTTATTAAAGCTTAGAAATAATTATTCTTTCAAACACTAAACAACACGCTATAGGTTAGGTTAAATCCAAGCGTTGAACGAAATGGGACACTGCAACAGCTGATCGTAGTCGTAGTATCTACTAAAAATTGCATTGTGTAGGCTTTCCAATGAGCCTACTCCCACCACCCTCATACGACCTGTCGCTGAACAGTGCGCTGCAGAAAATAGATTTTTTTTCCGCACCCTGTATTACTAAAAGGATTCAAATAAAAATTGTTATTCACTCTTGCCTACAACGATCACTGAAATTTTTTACTTTACCGTGTTTTGGGTTTATTTGTGACTTTTCTATAGTCATTACTTAAGATAAATGAAATGAAATGAAATGAAATGAAATGAAATGAAATTAAATTAAATTAAATTAAATTAAATGAAATGAAATGAAAATCGTCTTTATTCTTGAGCGTTTTTCATATTACAACATATGTTTTTCAAAACAACTCACGTCAACATAACAGATAACAAGATAACTAGATAACAAGGAGATAAGTAGATAAGTGCTGTTTATTTTGTAAATTATGCAAAATAATGATTATATAATGAATAGCACTTTTTATTTTATTTTTTGGATTGCCTGTTTTAATTGACTTATTGAGTTTTCCAATGTAGGTCCAGTCTTGTTAGGGTCGGTTAAGAGGGGATGTCAATTCTGAATAGAACAGGGGAGTTTTTAGTTTACAATAATTGTTGCCAATAACCCATGGCCGAGAGTGTGTTCATTAACGGTGCCCCCCCCCCCCCACCCATCTGGTTCTATTCACATATCTATGGGTCAACTAATAAAATTGGGATAGTAGAAGATGGCAATGTTTCTGTGATCGTAACTCCAATCATAGTAGGCCGGTGTTCTGTTGGCAATGAAGAAAAATCTTATTTCAAAGTTGGATCTCGGTACCAGTATTTTTTTTTTACTGTGGTAATGAGAATAATTTCTCTCGAATATAACACATAACTAATAGTAAGGAATGTATACAAATAATATATCTACTAATAAATTTTCTTGAAAAATATTTTATTCATTAAGATTTTCTATGAAAGATAATTTGTTTTTTAACGGATACTTGACGAGGAATAAATTTGAGAGTTTTTGCAATAGGAAGGCTGTTTGATGTTTTTGAAGGTAGGTCAACAGATAAAGCTGAAGTTGGAAGAAGGTTTGGAATATTTGGTCCAGAATCGATGGGCAATGACTGAGGTGAAAGAAAGGGGGGGATTTGTGAAAATGGTTGTTTATAGCTGAACATAACTTGCGGTGGAAGATGGGTTGGTAAACCTTGCGCTGCAGGATTGAGCCAAGTTTGATGAGAAGAGTTACCATGAGGTTCCACGAGGGCTGGAGGCTGATAAAAGCTTTGAGAAGTTCCCTGAGGATTTGAGTTACCTTGATCATATGCAACCTGCAAGATAAAGTTAACAATGGTAAAACTGGGTCAGCAGTTACAGTAATAGCCTTCATTATAAAAGTGGTTTTGTTTTAACAAGTTGACAATTTAACTATCATCTATTAATCAGCACAGTTTTAAGAAAATCTCTTTATTTTTTATGAGCTACTAATATTATGTCTTATGACAAACCATTTTGATACCTCAAATCAAATAGATTAAATCAACAAAACAAATTTATAAATCTAGGTCCATTTACTCCATAATATGATAAACTTAAACTACATGGACGTTGCAACACTTAATTCTAATTAAGATCTTTTGCCAAAGGGGGCTATGGTAGTGAATAAGACTGATTTAAGAATGGATCTTTTAACCTAACCACATTTTAAAAAGTGAAGTGACCACTTTTCACCATTGATCTGTACAAATAAATTCCTTCCTGATTAATTTGAATAATGGAACATCAACAACCACAAAAATACCTACCACAGAATGATTAAAACTGTTGCATAACCAATATTTAATTTGCATGCTGGCTAAAGAAAATTGGTTTTTCTCGTTGATAAATGAATTAAATTGAACTTCATTTCTTTCTCAGAGCCACTGAACAATACCTGTTGTTCTTAAAACATTTGTTCCATGGTGTTTCTTTATGTCTCTATTGTGGTTTATATCCCCTGTAAACTTTGTCAACCTGTATCTGAAATAGTTTTAGTTTTCTGCCTTTTTCAAATCTGTTTAATAGTTTTATTTTTGTTTTAGTATGAACAGACCAGTTAGTTAACAATAAAACAGTTAAATTTCCTGTTGTCACCATGTGGTCCAAGTTTCGTCTTTACAGTTTTACAGCGAACTTGCTAATATTTCATACTTAATATACTGCAGGTTCTCTGTGCAACTGTACCCTTCTGGGTTATTTAGACTCGTCAAAACCCAAGAGTCGGACACACGTCTGGCACGATATAAAAATATAATATAGACCTGTTTAAAAAAATGTAAAACCGTTGGTTTGTGTTTTATGTGATTCACTATGTGTTAATCTATTGTTTCAAACTTTTGACATGCCTCTTCAAGCAAGTATGTCGCTTTTTATTATATTACCCAAAAACTTTTTAATGGAGGTCTATATTATGAATTGTACGCTATGATTTTAATTTTTTTTTTCTTTTTTCAAAGGAGTAGGCCTAACTATAAAATTTTTATCACAAAATTACCTCCTGAGTTGGCTGAGCAGGATGAACTACAGGGAAATTTGATGTTGAAGTCTTTTGGGGTTGTGTAGCTGCAACTGAATCTCCATTTTTCGAATTCAAAGCTCTGAAAGCAATGTTTTAAATTGTGTTATCAATCTCTGCATATAAAAATAGCTTATTCCCTATATGGGAAATTCGCTAAAAATACAAGTAATCCTTATTGAAACATCTGATCGAACAAGGCAATTCTAGGCATTTTTCTTGTCTTAGAAAGTTTACAAATGGGTTCGTTTTTCTACATAAGAAGGGATTTTAAACTAGAATTCTTATGACATTTTTAAAAATGGTTTGAAAATATAGTCCAATATATTGATATTCTTGTCAAGATTGTCAAAAATCAAAAGAAGACAATATTCTGGGAAGCACCCAGTGGTTATCATAATCATCTTAAAATCTTAAGGTTGCTTGAAATCCCAAAAGGGTTCAAATTGTAATGGGTTGAATCATATAAAATAAATAAATAAATTTATTAATTAAAGGGGAAAAAGAATAATGTGAATTCAAATTCGGAAGAAACCGCCAACAAGTTCAAATACAAGGAGGGGGGGTTGAACGACCTTCCAGATTGTCCGAGAACATTCTAGAAGGTTTCAGAGCACTCTGGGTAACTTCCGTGTCCGGTTCCAGAAACATCTAGAACGTTGGAGAAGCTTCGAGAGCCTTGGGTTGGTTTCCGTTTCCGTCGGGCAGCGCCCCTAACGGGGGGAGTAGAACTGAAAATCGAGTAGAGAGGGAAGCGAGGGAGGTCATTCGTCGTTCGTTCGTCAGCTAGCTAGCACTACATAGTAGACATCGCCATCAACTTATTCGGTGAGGGAAGTTTTGTTCCACGAGGACTGTTAGATGAATCGTCAAGTATAACACCTACGTACGTTACGTCCCCGTGAGCATACGTCAATCTAGTTACGGTGGGATTTAGGACATCTACAAGGGAAGGAAGTTGCTGTCCCTCACTTCTCAGGAGGACATCTTGACTGGACTCCCGACGCCATGATGGTGGATGGATCGTCACTCACATTCACTGCTGAGATTTAAGATGAGTACTATGTAACTTAGTAAATTTAAAGCCATGGTCGTATTTTTCTTTCTTTTTAGGTAGACTATCAAAACATTCTGTAAAAATTTGTGGTCATCATTGCTAGAAGTCTGTTGAATCAGAAGTTAGGGCCTAATTTAATTAAGTTAATGTAACAATTTTTTTTAAGTAACTTTGTCGAATGTTAAATAGCTTACTGTTTGTGTTTTTTATTGAAAGGAGTTAATTAAAGGTATACGTTTATATAAACAGGTTCATTTAATTACCTATTCAGCCTCACACGAACCAAAACACCCCTGAGATCAGACAATCAAAATAGTATACATAGGCCTAGATTCATTCTAAATAACATAAAACAAAATTTAATTGTATTACAAAGAGATTAGTTAAGATTATAAATAAGTCACAATCAAAAGTGAGAGAACCTGTTACAAAATCCAAATTCAAATTCAAATGGGTTCGGATCTAAGCCCAGATGCTGTTTGTCATTGGGCCATCAATTAATGTCACTAGCCCATCTAACAATAGGTTGAGGTTAAATAGTAACAAAACCAGGGCTTGCAAGAAACATTAAAGCCACTGGCATTGAGAGCTAGACAAAATAAAAATAACTTCACAGACAAAATTGTTGCAACAGTGATTTTGAAACAATTAAGTAAAATCTCATAGAATTCTCAGTAGGCTATTTATTTTAGATGTTTTCATGAAAATATAAAATATCCATATTTCTGTTAGCTACCCGTTAGTTGATGCCTTCTTCCTCACTCTAGAAGCCACCTCCTTCCTCCGCAGCACAAGTTTGTTCCTCGTCTCCAGTACAGTTTCCAACTCCGGAGCGTAACACACATGCAACACTCCTCCAAAGAAAGACCTTGTGTCTAGCTGCCTCTTGGCAAACCTACAGCAAAACAAGCGGAAAAGAAAGATTATAATGTGGAACGTAATAAGGATTATTAAGCAACAAATTTCTGTTCGCTATGTTTGCTCAGGCAAATATTGTAAAAATCTAAATTTAAGCCTATAAAATCCACCAAGAAAAAATAGAGCACTGGTAGAAGACTTAAAACTATCAGTTCAGTTTAATTTTTTTTACATAAAAACTCTGTCAAACTATATGATAAATATCACAGCAAGTGGCAATAAAGACTAGTTAACATGCAGGAACAATAATAACAATAAATATTAACGAAGTAGAGACTAACAATAAGCAAACCCAAAATTATGAAACACTACAAAATAAATACATAGTATGGAGGCAAAAACAGCAAATTTACAGAAGAGAACAATGTTCAAAAGGTACGGTAAACTCTGAAGAAAAATTTAAAACTTAACAATAAAGGTAACAACAAGATAGACCATAAATATCAATAAATATGAAAAAGTAATACACAGAAGTGAGGGGAGTCGACAGCCCCAACACTATCACACACTCTTGCACAGAAACATGCACTCACTGGCTCGGAAGTGAGCAATGTACAATGTAAAATGGTGTTTGCCGTATATAAATAAATAAATAAAATAAAACTGTTGACATTGTAAACCATATAGCTTTCAATTACAATATATAGCTATGTAACTCTGTGCTCAATAAGCGTTCATGTAATTCATGTATTGCCTTCCAGATTACTTCACAATGGATTATGTGTTATGTGTACATGCAGTTCTTCGTGTTTGTGTGCCTTTCTTTATGTTCATTTGTGTTGAATGCTTTGAAGACTTAGAGTGATTCACTGAAGAGCACTGAATAGAAACAAACCATGCCAAATGAAGAACTTTGTGAAAATTCCCTTAGTGTGAACTTTTTAGGTTTTACACTTCAGGACAACTTAAAATGGCATGATCAAATTCTGGCCATACAAAAAAAAAAAACTTAATAAATCTCTTCATGCTATTAGAACTATAGCCAACATCTCAGATATAAAGACATGTCTTTTGGTTTATCATGGTTATTTTTTATCAATTGTTAGGTACAGCATCATCCTTTGGGGTGGAACATCAGTAATTGACAAGATAGTCAATTTACAAAAAGAGGCCATTCGAGCAATGTTTAAACTAAAATTTAGAAAATCATGTAAACAATATTTCAAAAATTCCAAACTATTAACTGTACCCTGTGCCAGCTCTTTATATTTTTGAAGTTCTGAAATTCTTTAAAAAACATCAACAATATTTTTCAAACAACAGTCAGGAGACTCAGGGTACAAGAAACACACACACTCTGCGGTACCCTAAACATAGATTGTATCTTTTGGAGAAGGGTCTATATTACATGGCAATTAAATTGTTTAATCACCTTCCACTAGAGATAAAAAAAAGAAAAAAACTAACACATTAAAAAAAAACTGGAAACTCATCTAGCTGCAACATGTCCTTATAAAGTGGAAGATTTTTTTTTAATGAGCATATCTGTCTGAGTCAGGGGTTGTACTGTATATATTTTCATTTTTGTTAGACTATATCTTATCCATTATATTTGATTTTTAAATAATTAATTCACACTCTAGTTATAATTGACATGCCATCTGTTACATGAGCTATGCTCAAATTTGTTGTCATATAGTACTCATCACAAAGAGACTTTGATTTAATAACTCTATGCTGATGTATGTTTACTCCTTGTTGAGACGATGACTCTATGATTTGTAAATTAGCTTAGCTCACTCTCTTGTATTAAATATGTAGAACGAGATGGACATCTTTTATTAGACTTGACCTACAATACTTCTTTTGACATGGCGCAGTCCAGCTAAAGTTTTAAAGTTATATGTTTAAAGTGAATCAGTATGTTATAAAGTTGAATGATGTTGCAATTTAATGTAAAATGCAAATTAACTGAAATACAAGAAGCAGAAATATAATGGCTGGAGATGAAGACGAGGAGAAGAAAGGTAAAATTGAAACTCCGATGGCCAAGCCTGCAGGATCAGGTAGTACACCTACAACTATGTCTTGTTCAATTTCAAATTCGAACATTAAAATTCCGTCAGAACTAAACTGGACTGGAAATATGGCAGAAAATTGGATTTTCTTCAAACAGAAATTCAATATTTATTTGTTAGCTAGTAAAAGCAAATCAGAGACTTCAGAATATCAAGTTGCACTTTTGTTAAGCACCATTGGTGATCGAGCACTTAAAATATATAATAACTTCACATTTACTGAGGATCAAAAGGGTGATGACATTGAAACAGTTTTATTAAAGTTTCAAGAGTATTTTGTTCCTGACAAAAACGTAACCTACGAGAGACACATTTTTTTCCTCAGGGAGCAAAGGCCTGATGAATCGGTGGACACCTATGTCACTGATTTGAGAGATTTGTCTTCCACATGCGACTTTGGCACGTTAAATGATTCTCTTATTAAAGATAGGCTAGTCCTAGGTATCAAGGACAGATCCGTCAAAGATAGGCTACTTAGGATTAAAGATTTATCTTTAGGCCAAGCAATTGAAGTCTGCCGTTCTGCGGAGAGAACCAAATCTCAATTAGAAGATATTTGTTCGAACTCTGAAGGTAAGGAAGTCAACAAAATAGGCGTAGGCCTAGGTAAAAATCAACAACACAAGAAGCGAGCAGCTCTAAGTGGACCCAGTGCCAGTGGCAGTTCTAATAGAAATAATAATAGGCCTAGTGGTTTTTCTAGTCATCCAGTTAAAGGTCGTACTTTTAAATATAACAATCCAAGTAAAAGCTATGCAGTGACTGGCAGGAAATCTCCTTGTTCAAAGTGTAATACATTCCACGAGTACTACAAATGTCCAGCTTTTGGCAAGCGGTGTTTAAATTGTAATAGACTCAATCATTTTGCTAAGGCATGTAAAGCAAGTAAAACTGTAAATATTGTCGAGCAGGAAGAAGAAGATGAAACTAGCGCGCCTAATAGTTCTTTATTTATCGGTAGCGTTCATGTAGTATCGACTAAATACAAAGGTTCGGGTAAACACAAACAATGGCACACTGATCTTCAAGTTGAAAATGCCACGGTCAACTTCAAACTAGACTCAGGTGCGGAAGTGAACATTATTTCAAGAAATGTATTTGGTTCCTTAGATGCAGGCCTAGATGATTTGTTAGTGACAGACACAAAACTAACTTCCTACACAAGACAAAACTTGAAAGTAGCAGGTAAATGTTTACTTAATGTTACTTACAAAGGTTCTAAGCATGTTTTAGAATTTTTTGTTGTGAATTCAAAAGCTCCTTGCATACTAGGGCTTAATTCATGTGTTGAGCTAAATCTAATCAAAAAAGTTGATTCTTTAAAAATGATTAGGCCTACAACTCCTAAGCCTAATCTAGATACAAATGGTAAAGATCTTATTTTAAGTAAATACAAAGATCTGGTAACTGGTATTGGTTGTTTGAAAGGAGAGTATGACATTAAATTAAGAGAAAATGTTGTACCTAAGGTGCATGCACCAAGAAAAACCTTGGTTTTTGGCACATTAAATTAACAGAAAGATCCTCGGACCTTTGCACATTTAATACTCCATTTGGCAGGTACAAATTTTTGCGTTTGCCATATGGGGTTTGTTCAGCCTCTGAAGTTTTTCAGCAACGTATGAAACAAATCTTTGAATCCATAGAAGGTGTTGAAGTGTACATAGATGATCTCATAATATGGGGTCGTGACAAAGATGAACATGACAGTAGACTCAGGTTAGTTTTGGAAAAAATGTATTCAGAAAACATTAAACTTAACCTAAGTAAATGTAAAATATGGGTAGATGAAATCAGGTATTTAGGCCATTGTTTTTCACACAAAGGTATTTCTGTAGACGATGAAAAAGTCAAAGCGATCACTGAGATGCAGTGTCCTAGGGACAAAAAGTCATTAGAAAGATTTCTTGGTATGGTGACCTACATAAGTAAATTCATACCTAATGTGTCAGAGCTAACATCTCCTTTGAGAGCAATTTTGAAAAAAAAATGCGGAATTTCAGTGGTCTTTCAAACAGGAACAAGCGTTTGTAAAAATAAAGTCGTTTCTTGCGTCAAAGCCTGTTCTACAGTATTTTGATAATGAAAAACCAGTTTTGCTGACGGTTGATAGTAGTCAAAGCGGAATGGGTGCAGCCCTAATTCAGAATAACCTACCTGTTGCGTATGCATCTAAAGCCTTAAGTGACACCCAAAAAGCTTACGCACAGATAGAAAAGGAGATGTTGGCAATTGTTTTTGCGTGTGAACGATTTCACCAATTTGTCTATGGCAGACATTTCACTGTTGAAACGGATTGTAAACCCCTGGTATCTATAGTAAAAAAGAATATTGAACAATGTCCTCCCAGATTGCAGCGTATGTTATTGAAACTGCAACAGTATAATTTTGATTTGTTTTACAAGCAAGGTAAGGAACTTTTCATCGCAGACACGTTGTCTCGAGCATTCAATGTTTCAGACGATTCAGACCTTGATTTAGACACTAAGGATATTGAAGCATATGTATCTTCTATTGAAGCTAACATAAATGTGAGTAATGGTCAACTAGCTAAGATAAAAAACCTTGTAAATATTGATAATGAAATGTGTGTGCTAAAAAGGTATCTTATTGGTAATGTGTGGCCTACTCACAAAAAACAGGTCCCTGATTGTATTAAACCTTATTGGCCTGTAAGACATGAACTCACTCACTGCAATGGTTTGATTTACTATGGTACTGCAATCGTAATTCCTAATTCCCTAAGAAGTGAAATGTTAACGAGACTGCATTACCCTCACTTGGGTATCACGAAAACCCAACTTAGAGCTAAGAATGTTCTATATTGGCCTAATATGTACAATCAAATTGCAGAAATGGTAGGTAAATGTGAATCATGTTTGTTGTATGCAAAAAATTATCCCAAGGAACCGTTGTTGCCTCACCCTGTTCCAGATCTTCCATGGCAGAAAATAGGTATTGATTTGTACCAGTATAAAAGTAAGTTTTATTTGTTAGCTGTAGACTATTTTTCAAAGTTTCCTGAAGTGTTATGTGTAAATAGTATATCAAGTGTCACAATTGTAACATGTTTGAAATCAATCTTTAGTAGGCATGGTATACCAGAAACTATCGTAACTGCTCATGATTCTTGTTTTGTAGGAGAACTATTTAAAAAGTTTTCACATGATTGGGGATTCAATCATATTTTAACGAGTCCTCATTTCTCGCAAGCTAATGGAATGGTTGAAAGAACGATACAGAGTATCAAAAATCTAGTTAAGAAATGTGAACATGACCAAAATGATCTGTTTTTAGCGCTTTTAGAATACAGGAACACTCCTGTATCTTCTACTTTGCCTTCTCCTTGTGAGATATTGTATAGCAGAAAGGTAAGAGGACTACTTCCTCATGACAACAAAGAATTAAAACCTAAAGTTAATAGATTTGTTAAGACTCATCTGTTACAAAGGCAACTATCGCAGAAGAAGTACTATGATGTAGGCTCAAAAGAATTGTCCAATTTACATGCTAATGAAAATGTGTTGATGAAGTTAGATGATAAGAAATGGGTCAGAGGTAAAATTGTTAATGAAAGAAATGTACCTAGATCCTATGTTGTAAAATGTTTTGCAAATGACAGGTGTTACGTCAGAAACAGAAGGCATGTTCGCCCTTACCTAACAGGTTCGCCAAAGGCAAATGAAAATGAATGTAATGTTAGCCTAAGTCCAAAGGTTACACAAACAAAACCTACCACCCCAAAAAAACCTATCCTATCCCCTCCTTCTAGAGGTTCATCGTCTCCCATTGGTCCTTCTCCGACCAATCCTGGTTCTTCGCCTAACATCACTCGAAGTCCTCGATTATCTTTACCTCATACCATACCTAATGAAGACCTACCTCCTGTAACTAGTCCTGAAACTATCACCAGAAGCCGCTACGGTAGGATAGTCAATCCTCCCAAGAAACTGAATTTGTAGTAGGCTATGAATGAATAGGCTAATAGGCTATGAGTGAATTTATTTGTAGTCGTCAATCACAATTCTTTATTTAAAATGTTGAATATCATTTTTCAGTGTGTATTTTGTCTTTTATAATTGATGGTACTTAAGTTTCAAGAAAATGAATTTGAATTATATTTTAGGTTATATTATGTCTTTTCACATCCAAATGGTTCTTATGTTTTGTAAAGTTAAACTTGAAAGTTGAAAATTATTTTAGGTTATATTGTGTCTTTTCATATCTGATGGTACTTAAATTTGTTTTGACTGGAAAATTGTTTTAGGCTATATTTTGTATTTTTAAATCTAATTTCTCTTGTAGGCTAGGTGAAATTTGATTATTGTACAACTTTGAGTAATAATGATTTATTTTATATTGTTAATAAGATCAAATGTGAATTTTAGTTTCATTTTAATAATGTTGGAGAGAGGGTTGAATCATAAAAAAGAAATGTACTTGATTTGTTTAATGACTTGTTCTAATGTCTAATTGTGTAAAAGATGTTTTTAATTTTGAGCTAGGCTATATTAAAAAAAAAAATGTTTTTCTCATGTTTCAAATTTTGAAATGATATTAGTTTTGTAAATTCCATTTTATTTTAAGAAGGGAAGTGTCATATAGTACTCATCACAAAGAGACTTTGATTTAATAACTCTATGCTGATGTATGTTTACTCCTTGTTGAGACGATGACTCTATGATTTGTAAATTAGCTTAGCTCACTCTCTTGTATTAAATATGTAGAACGAGATGGACATCTTTTATTAGACTTGACCTACAATACTTCTTTTGACATTTGTAATGTTTTTTTTTTTTTATGGCAAATAAAGAGTTTGAGTTTGAGTTTGAATATTGTATGTCTTGCTTAGTGCTGGATTTACCACAATATTGTGAACTAACCTGGCAGACTGTAGTCTGGCGTACTGGACGTGGTAAGTCTCTGTGAACGCTTCATCACCATCGTACCCCGGCACCAACACACAGCAAGTGACTGTCCCGAAGCGGCTGCATAGGGCACTCAACTCTGAGTGCAGCTGGAGGGCCGGCACTCGACTGACAAGTAGATGTGTTGACTCATCGCTCACCGTGTACACCTGACAAAGCTGGTCTTTTAAGGAAATTGCTACTTACGCCTTCCTGGTTTCTGGCACTGAATTAAATATGTCAAAAAAATCTAAAATAGATTTTACAGACAATAAGCTGGGCCTATATAGATTTTAGTTGCTCAATGTACTCCAATAACCAAAGTCAAAGTCATTTTTTTTGTCACAAAAGGTTTTTTTTACAATTCTCTGACACAGCGAGACAAAACAAGTGACATTTTCAAACTATAGGAAATAAATTAGCCTATTGTACAAATAAACACATATTGGATTTGTCTTCAAGAAACTGGTTAATACTATAATAATTTTTCCAAAAAAAAAATTCTACTATTTTTATTTTAAAATATACTAATTGTATAATTGATTTGTAGTACCCTGGCAAGTTGTTGTAAAATTGTTTACCCATATAAGAAAGGTACGTCTTTTCCACAAGATTTAATCTATGTATATAGAATATTGAAAATCTGTCTAAAATCTATTGTTGTAATTGTGCCCATTATTTTCACTGTGGAGTTTTTTCAAAATTTGATTTCTCATACAATTAACAATTAAGAATGTACAAATTAAGGACTGTTAGAGTCTTTAGGTACCTATTTAAAAATTTGTTTGCAATAATGTTTTGCAGGTTTAAAAGTCAAGGTTTAAAATTGTAGCACTTCAACTAACATTCTTGTTCATTGTTTGTAGGAATCATCAAATTCTTAAAAAACATTATCTATTTCTTCTACTTGTGGGAATAACCCACATCACCGCCAACAATTATATAATAAGGTAAGAGTCAACCCCATCAGCTGATCCAAAGGCAAGCAGACAGCTCTAGTCGGACCGATACTAGCGCTCCGGCCGAAAAGGACCAACCGCCGGCAACCAGGTTTGTCTTGGATCGGCACGGGACGGAGAAGGACATCTTAATCTTTTGCTACAGTTGGTAAAGTACCCGTAATGGCTAACTAGTTAATTAATCTTTTGGGGGATAAAGGGGTTAAGGGGAATCATATCTTTTCTAAATTAGACCAAGATCAACCAACAATAAACTAACTGACGTAACTCTTTTAGGTTTACTCTTTTAGACCTCAATTCAGCATACAACCAGATACCCCTCGACGAAGAGTCAAAGCCCTTGACAGCCTTTGTGGTCCCTTGGGCCCAATATGAATTTAATTATGTCCCTTTTGGACTGGCAAATGGTTCTATGGTACTCAACGATTTGATGAACAAAGTATTAGGTGATATCAAATTTAAATATGTTTTTTCATTTTTCGATGATTTAGTGATCTATTCAGACTCCTTTGAACAACATGTTCAATACATCCAAGAGGTACTTCGTCGCCTTGAACGAGCAGGTCTCACAGTCAATCCCGGAAAAATGGTGATAGCTTCGCAGGAAATCAAATTTTTAGGTCATCAAATCAAAAACAACTCCCTATCAATTAGCAACACTAGAACCAAACCCATAGATGAATTTCCAACCCCTAGAACACTCAAACAGCTATCCAGATTTTTAGGTATGACCGCCTTCTATTCTAAATTTATCCCCAATTACTCCGAAATATCAGCTCCTTTAAACAAACTCAAAAAGAAGGGTGAAAAGTTCATTTGGGGAAAAGAGCAGGAAACGGCCTTCAATTCATTGAAACAATCTTTAACTTCGGCTACAGTCCTTAAGATGCCAAATTTTGATCTACCCTTTGACTTGCATACAGATGCCAGCAGAACTAGCATTAGTGGAATAGTGTCCCAAAAGTACGACGATGCACTTCTACCAGTGGTATATGGTTCACGTCCCACAAACATACACGAGAAAAATTACAGTGCCTTCGAGTTAGAGGCTCTCGCCATAACTCACTTCCTCAAGAAATTCCGTGTATATTTAGAACATAGACATTTTGAGCTATATACAGATTCTAACGCACTAACCTGGCTTTTTGAACCATCCTAGACAGGTAGGCAAGATCGCACGTTGGATCACGCTAATCAACTCATTTCAATTCACAGTTTATCATATTAAGGGAAAAGACAACGTAGTAGCCGACTGTCTCTCTCGCATGTTCGAGGAAGGCCCACCCCCAATCACATCACCCGTAGCTTGTCCACCCCCAATCACATCACCCGTAGCTTGTTCACCCACACCAGATCACACACATCAAATTAATGTTTTATTTAAATTACCAGACGCTTTTAAAGATATTAGGGAACATCAGTCAGAAGACACAGTTACACAACAAATCATTAAGTCATTGAAAGGAAAAAAACCACCACCAAACTATTCAATGGTAGACAACATACTGACACACAAATTTCCGAGCCAAACCAAACCCAGAGTAGTTATTCCAGACCGATTAATACCACTTCTCTTTAAATACTATCATCTAGCCCCAACCACAGCTCACTTAGGCATCAAAAAGACTTGGTCTCGAATCGAGCAGCATTTTTGGTCCCCAACCCTTAAGGAGACCATAACCGACATGGTCAAAACCTGCACCTTCTGCCAACGATCTAAGCAAGCCCTAAATACTAGAGCAGGACTCTTATCCTCCGAGGTACCGACAAGACCATTTGAAAAAATTTTCATAGATCACATTGGTCCATTACCACGTTCCAAGAAAGGAAATAAATACCTTCTCACAATTGTCGATTCATTCTCAAAATTTGCAATTTTTCTTCCGGCTAAGAACACAACGTCAGCAACCACAGTTTCACTTCTACGCTCAGGCCTCTTTGCTTACTTCGGCTTCCCAAAATATCGTCTTTTACATCTAAAGAATTTTCAGACATGTGTCTCCAGTTAGGGATCCGCCACATAACCACCACTCCATACTATCCAAACCCAAGCCATGCCGAGCGAGTGAATAAGAACATCAAAATAGCCATTCGAATTTATCACTCAGATCATCAAACTGATTGGGACCAAAATATCCATCTTTTCCAGATAGACTTTAATTCAGCCAAACACTCAAGCACCGGATATTCCCCAGCAGACCTTTTTTTAAGTTTTCACATCAATCATCCATTAGAACTAAACTGGGATTTGGACCAATTACTAAATTACAACACAAACCCCCAAACAACCAGGGACAAATGGGTACAAGCGCACCAAAATTTAACTAAAGCACGAGAAGCCCGCGAAAGACAATACAATCAGGGAAGACACCCCCCATCCTTCAAGATAGGCGATTGGGTCATGTTTAGACTACACCATCAGAGCAAGGCAATCAACAAAATCAATGCTAAATTGCTTCCACTCTGGTCACAACCTGCTATTATACAGGCCTACACATCACCTGTCACAGTAATTTTAATGGATCCAAAGACAGGAAAAGTTGTGAGGCGAGCTCATGTCTCTCAGCTCAAGCACTATTTTCACCCGAATCAGGGACTTCCATGAAAGACCACATCAATTAAACCCCCACCCACCCGTTAAATCAAAAACTCACGCATCTCATGAACCCTCTCAGCTGGTGATATTAGATTAAGTTAGGTTAGTCCATACTGTACAATTTTTCACTCCGTAGCACACACATACACACGCAGGGTTGTGATGGAGCCTGCACCTGTCGCCAACTGTGACTAAGGTCGTGTTTCGCGTAGGCACGCCCTCCAGAAGGCGGCAGGGTTTAGCGATTGCCCATACAACCTGAGCTGCAGCTCTCCTCCACGTCATTGGTTTTAGAGTAAATTCATTTTTTGCGCATATTTAAAATTATTTTATTAGACCGTGAACTGTGCCTAGCTTTTTTTTAAAACTTTTTCATCTTTTAGCGCAGTTCAGGGGCTAATGATCGTGGGGAAGAGCGGATTGTTCCCCTCAACCTACTTCGAAATAGTTTGAGGATACACGCTCACCAACACTAACACACCAATCCTTACACAAACACATCTTTCATATTCAAACCGGTAGTTTTAAGTAGATTAAGTTAGTTCTGTGACCAACATGCCAACCTTAGGGCAGCGAACCTGCATAAAAGTGCCCTACAGGATCATAGATCATTAAGATATATGTTTAATCGCATTGTTATAGTTCAAACTATTTATTCATTGTTATTTGTTATTAATATTTATTTACTTGTTTATGGATTACTATCCTATTTGTTTATTTATTAATACATTGTATGATCCCGCCAGTTAAGTACATTACCACCACTGGAACTGCAGTCCAGTGTGGCCAAGGCAGCAATCTTGCCTACCAAAACCCCAAACACTATTTTCTTGCCCCTTTTAACCAGAAGTTCCAGGTCCAGCATCCTAGCTCCAGCTCCTTTTTTGGGGAGCGGGGGAGAGCTGTGGGAATAACCCACATCACCGCCAACAATTATATAATAAGGTAAGAGTCAACCCCATCAGCTGATCCAAAGGCAAGCAGACAGCTCTAGTCGGACCGATACTAGCGCTCCGGCCGAAAAGGACCAACCGCCGGCAACCAGGTTTGTCTTGGATTGGCACGGGACAGAGAAGGACATCTTAATCTTTTGCTACAGTTGGTAAAGTACCCGTAATGGCTAACTAGTTAATTAATCTTTTGGGGGATAAAGGGGTTAAGGGGGATCATATCTTTTCTAAATTAGACCAAGATCAACCAACAATAAACTAACTGACGTAACTAAATTAAACTTTACAATTATCGATATCATGTTTAGGGCAAGTTGCTGCAGGCGTGTCACAATGGCGAGGAGTAGTTAGAATTGAATAAAATGTAGTTAATCTATTTATTTGAGACTTATCAAAGCTGGCTTATGCTGAGCAGGGTTTTCGTGGGTGCTGTGGGAAGTGGAATCAGCACGTTTTTCATTAAGTGTGGATCTGGCTGGGTTTATTCCATTCAAGACCCCGCATACTTGGTGGCGTTCTATGACTTTCCTATGTTACTATAGTTTACAAATCGGTTCTTTCAAATAATTGCTCAATAAATACAGTACTGTGTCAATTAACTCATGTTTCTTATTTGGTAAAATATATCAAATTGTCCAGAATTCATCATTTTTTCCCATTGTTATGTGTACGCAAACCCAAATTCAAATACAGTAGACTCCCTCTTATCCGGACACCTTTTAACCGGACCACACTCGGTAGAAGTGACATCTTTTTATCTGGATAATTATTATCAGCACATCGGTCTAACCGGACTAGATCAGCAGGAAGTGGGCGGTACTGAAACGACTGTTCTGGAAAGATTTGAGACCAGTGATACGTGTCTAAATACAATGCTCTCCTAATTTTAAGTCAAATACTGTATAGAGTATGCATTTAAACGGTCCGTTTTAAGAAGAGATTTTGAGGACGTCGGTTTAACCGGAAAAACCCTTATCCGGACTGGCCTCGGTCCCGAGGAGTCCGGATAAAGGGAGTCTACTGTAGTAAATATTTAATTTTAACAAATTCAGTAAAGTTTAATGTTTGTAGCACCCGTTTCCTTGAATTGCACCTTAAATATTAACAGCGATTAAATTATCCAGCTGAACATAATGTAAACAAATATGTTCTTCATAAGGATAAAATGGAAACTTTACCGTAACCCTTTGCGGTCGAATGGCAAGTATAGGTTGCCGCCCGCCATTTTGCCGGCTGCTCGAGTAGCAACATATACTTGCCGAAAAATGAAAAAGAAATCGACCTCAAAGGGTTAAAAGCTACTGGGGCAGAGCCCAAGGGTCTTTTTCAAAAATTTAAGGTCAGTTTGCAAATCTACATGACACACTCTTTCCAATAAGACGCGAATGGTTAAAATCGGTTAAGAAATGGCAGAGGATTCCGAAGGACAAATTTTGTGTTGGCGTATTAATTATATAGATTACAAGAAAACGATGCTCGTGAGCACTTTGTAGTCTCATACCTCAAATGAGCCTAGCTGCAGTTTGAAATATGAAAATATTGTGGAATAATAACCACCCTTTTTGCAATATTATTGTAAAATTCCATACCTACAACTAATTTTTAACTAGACCAAAATTAATTAACAATTCAAAATTAATAAAAAATACAGTACAACATTGTTAAGTTGGCACACTTTAAGTTAGATCCACAAATGACTCCGACCGGTTTGCAATTTTAAACTTAGTAGGCCCTTTAAACAAACCTTTTAGGCAACAAAAATACAGGGTGATTGATATAAGTGTGCAAACTGTTTTATTCGAAAGTTATAAGAGACATCAAAAATGTTAAACTGTAACTGCATTGGATGTTTTATTAAAAAAATTGTGGTCAAGTTGAAAAAATAATTTTAGCTGCCATTTTTCCAATATGGCAGAACTTAAATTTTTCTTATGGAAGACCCTATATTTTATGCATTTTTTTAGAAAGTAAATGCCTAATTCTTGTCATTTTTTCTCTAAAGCTACTCTAAATTACTTGGGGTGTAAATTCTGCACCATGTAGCTCCTAAATTGAGTAAGTTTAGAAAGTTTAGGAAATGGTATGAGGTATGAGTAAATAAGTCTTTAAACTGTATCTACATTACAAAAAGACCATAAAATACATAGTTTTCTTATTCTAAAATTTTCTGCCATTTTGGAAAATGGTGGCCATTTTTGAAATAATGGGATCAATATTTAATTAAACCATCAAAAACAAAAAAAAATATTGATTCCATTATTTCAAAAATGGCCACCATTTTCCTTTTTCCAAAATGATAAAAAAAATTTAAAATAAGAAAACTATGTATTTTATGGTCATTTTGGAATGTAGATGCAGTGGCTTAACGACCTGTGGCTTAATGGATCCACCATGTTATTTGCAGACGACACCACCCTCATATCACAGGGGAAGGACATTGGTCAGGTTCGGACGGAGGCTGACCACCTACTGGAACGGGCCAAAGACTGGTTCAACATGAACCGATTCAAGCTAAATGAGGACAAAACCCAATCGCTGCTGTGCACTCTAAAGTTTGACCCACATAAAGACGAAGCCATGAAACGACTTGGGTTTTGGCTTGACCCCAAGCTAAGTTGGAATACACACATAGATAATGTATGTACTAACATAGACTAAGCAACACAAGTAAATAACTCATCCCATTGTAAATTTTGAAGCTTGTTTTTCGTGTCTAGTTCATGTACGTCCACACTGATCGCTGGGGTAGACAACATTTTGTTTCTATTATTTTAGGGTTATTTTCATGATTTGTGCTTTACTATTTGGTTATATAACTAGGAGACCAGTTATTGTTTATGATTACATCGTTTTATTTGGTTAAATGAGATTTTAAATTACTGAAATAAGAAGAAACAAATTGTAAACAAAACATAACCTCTACAGTTGGACGTACAGAACTAACAATGAAATTGGCTTCAGCTGTTCCATAGGGATGACAAATCTACTAAGGGAGTATGATTTATCTATGGTACTAAACTCTCCAGAGTACTATGTCTTTTGAGGAAGCTCCGTTACGTCATCACAAAGCCTTATCTACTAAATGTGTACCATGCTCTTTTCCATAGCCATGTCACCTATGGCATAGCGATGTGGGGACACGCACCACTAACTCAGGACATTCTCCTCTTGCAGAAGAAGGCTGTAAGAATTATAACATCCTCAGACTTTGATGAACACTGCAGGCCTCTCTTCATGGAGTTAGGAATACTAACAGTGCACAGCCAATATGTCCTAAGCAGTCTGCTACTCCTGAAAGATAACCTTCACCGTTTTGAAATGAGGGAAAGCCAGCATAGCCATAACACTCGAAAGGCCTAGGAGCTCGATCTGCCGCGGTGTAGGCTTAGCCACTCCATCAAAAGCTACCCTCGCTCAGCAATCAAGATTTTTAACACGCTGCCAAAAAGAGTGAGAGAGTTGGACAAGACGAATTTCAGGGCAGTACTGCAGGGCCATCTGGTTAATAAACCCCTCTACTCCTTAGAGGAATTAAGGGAAGTGCCACTAAAAGTTAGCTGAAAACAGCACTACAGTAGGAAATCAGTTAGGAAATCAAATCGCCACAGCCCAGTAAATAAATAGTTTTTTCCTACAGTTACCTAACAATGTACATGTTCTCTCACTGATTTGAGAAAGCAAAGTGGCCAATTCGCTCATCAACATTGTCTCACTCTAATTACTTTGTCTCACTCCAGATTTGCAACATGAAGGCACAAAATAGTGAGCGCGTAACATGCAGGCAACGTCGTATGCGCGCGAAATACGTTGGCAGCACTGGCTGTAAATCAGCTGGTCAGCTGTTGTACTGTTGTATTTGTCACTTCACATTAAATTTTATATATTAAAAGTTCACTTCTGTGTAAAAATAGGTTATGTTTCTTGTTTCTTCACCAATTTATTTGTTTTATGGTAACTGTAGGAAAAGTATAATGTGCAACTCGAGTTCAAAGTACAATTGCCTCACTCGAGAAACCATTCCTCACTCGCCTACGGCTCGTGAGTAAGGATTTCTCTCGAGTGAGTCAATTGCTCACTTTTCTCACTAGTTGCACAAATAACTATTTTTAGTAAGAAGTTTGTAAGTATTAGTTTTAAAAATATGTAAATAAATAGTATGTTAATGTGCCTCTGACGCAATCTATCCGACATCGTCGGTCAAGGATTAAGGACACAAGTATCAAATATCCAAGTAAGTATCAGTTTTAAGACTTAAGCCTATTTACTCTTATATAAATTAAACTGTATAATTTTAAATTAAATATGCATTTTAGTAGCATTATTGCTTTATGTGAGCATATAATCGAGCAATGATTGTGTTTCTGTCATTTTTGTCCAACCGAGATTGTTTGATTGTACATCTGGTGCTTGAATTGACGTAGAGTGCCTCTGTGGCAAGTCACTGTCATTGCAATTGGTTTATTGTGATGTATAAATATTTCAAGCAAAGTGGTTTTAATGTAGCCTAGTGAAAAAAAAAATGTAAGTATATTTTCGTCTGTTGTTTTCTGCTCTTTTTTTAAGACACAAATTTCTCAGAACGGCCACGGTCCCATTTGGTCTGACTTAACGAGGCTGTACTGTAGGCCTACACATTGATATAACTTCAAAATAACAATTCGGTAAAACATTTACGCTTTGCAGCCTATTTAATTCAAGACGATGTATAAACTATAAATAACAGGATATTGATTCAAATTGGATGGAGTACAACGATCACCGCACACATTCAAATCACATGGCAAATTCACCTGCTAACGTTATTTGTCTTAATAATTAAAGGCTGGACTATCTCTTTATCATTACTAAATATATACTTTGTGTAGTAGGATACGTCACACCTTAACAGCTGTTAATTTTCTTCCTTGTCTATAACTTGGTCTAGTCGAGCACAGTTCCTGCTGTTCATGATGATTTAGTTTTGGAATATTGATATCCATCTCTTGGGGTACCTTAACAAAATTAAGTTATTTTATAGCTAAAAAAAAACTTTACTAACCAACTAAACATAGAGATTTGAACTAATCCTTAAAGATTGGCCACAAACTATTATAACAAGTAGCCTACAATCTTGGTGCAGGTCACAAACTATATGACTTTCTCACTACCGTACCACTCTCCCACTCATAAAGAAACATACACAAATATAGGCCTAATGATCATTTTGGAAAATTAACTATGTTGTAGCCCTTAAACAGTTCAGGGTAGTTTGGACTCCTGGTTTATGATCGGACGGGTGCTGCAACCAAGCAATTGTTAAAAATGTAAATTTTTTATGTGCCTAGACCTACTTACAGTTTTTTGCACGTTCAATCCCAAAATGCAATAGGCCTAACTCCTTTTTTGTTAGTTTTTTGTCGAAAAGATTCATAAATAACCGTACAATTAAATTACCAATTTTACGACCGTTTCGGTATCAAAATGCCATCATCAGATGTGTGTATCAACCAGATTTGACGTCGTCAAACTTTACAAAAACACAAAACGCGATAAAAAAAATTTAAAACATAACTTAGAACAAGAGACAGGCCTGTCGTGCACATGATGTCCGATACGAGTACGGAAGCTATAATTGATTGAGGCCTACACAGGCAAAGTTAGGCCACATGGCCCTTTCTTACATAGTCCTACCACTAGAAAAAAACCCACACGTAGCCTACCTGTTTGAGTCGAACGCAGGTAGAAGAGTCAGTGTGGTGGGGAAAGACACTTCGCCCCTCGCCAACGACTTATCCCCACCACCACTCCAGGCCCTTCCCCGCCATCACCCCTACGTGCGCGAGACAGCCGTGGTTCTGCGCAGGTTCTTTTTATAGTGGTAGACCTATAACCTGTAAGTTAGGCTACTTAAATATGATCAAAGTGTAAGTTGTAGAAATTTACGTTTTCCAATCTTTCCCTATTGTTGCTAGTAAATCTAGAAAAATAATCATTTTTTGTAGTATATTATGATATAAGTTAGAGTAGCCTAAATTCTGTGGCCTACAATTTGCATAGGCCTATTTTTAATTGTGCAATAGAAATTTACGTTAGGCTACACTTGACAAGTTTTTGCTTTTGAAAGAAAATTAAAAAAATAAAGTAGGGCCTATAGCATAACTTATATTTTTTGTTTTTGTTACTTTTATCTAAAAATCCACCTGTCTAAAATTGGTTTTAAGTTATAACCATTTTTGATTTCTAACTGACTAAGTTATTACGAACAAAATGAATATACAGATCAATTAATAGTTAATCTATATTACTAAGTTAATTTTATACAGATTTTTGAAAACCCCCCTTACAAATTCACCAAAATAAGCATGCCACTCCACAAAGCACATAACTTATTGAAAATTGGTCTCGCAACTCCTAGGGTTAAGATTTGGACCAGCATAGCTTTTTCCACCGTTGCCATTTTTATTTTCAAATTGTCATTTGAATCCAATTAAGAAATCACCAACGGTGAGCACAATGTCGTGGATGGTGCCTTACGTAGACCGGAAAAGCTGTCATAAGTTAATTTTGATCCAACCAAACATCTTATAGGCTATAAGTTATTCAGGAAAATGAAGACATTTTGATCTTTCAGTTATGGTAGGCCTTACTGTCAAAATAACTTCCCCTTTTGTAGGTGGTAAGGCACACAGTCCCCCAAGGGTCTGTGTCAAGTTTTCACTAAGACTTCGGTGAGGGTTGATTCAGGCCTGACTATGCTAAGTCGAGATTGAGAAGGAGCTGATTGAGAAGGACGATAAAATTCACTTCCCACCAGCTTGAAGCCTAGGCTGTTCCATATGGCCAAACCTATAGACGCGTTTACACCGGAGTTTGAAACACGAGTTGCAAACAGGAATTGCAAACATCTCTAAAAACGCACATTTTTAGACAAAACATTTCGCTGTTGCAAACAGTTTTTCAGTGTTTGCAAGAGAAATGTTTGTTTCCACTTGAAGTCGGCAAAGATCAAAGGGAGTTGCAAACTTTCGTTTGCAACACCGGTTTTGGTCACTGTGTGCCGTTGAAACACAAAACAGAAACATTTCCCCGCCATCCCCTACGCTGCCAAATCCACTCTCACTCACGTGATCACTCGCACCACCCTGTGTCGAGAACCATAGATGTATAACTTAGCCTTTCATCAATTGTCTCGACTCAAGTGTCATAAACCTGTCTGGACTGCTAGTAGTTATCTCGTGCGTGATGCGAGTGACAATGGAAAAGTTACTGAATGAGATGGAGTGGGTAGGTAGATGACAACATTCTAATAAAGCTAATTGTCTCGTACAGAGAGCAGCAAGTCCTGTGGAACCAAACTATTAAGATTACAAAAACATGAAAAACTACGTATGGAATGACATTTAATTTTAAAATTACATCCTCAACACTATAGACATCCTCGGAAGGAATGATCCCAGGAACCATAACATAGGCGAGTCATAATCAAGGTCAAAAGTGTTTCAAAAATGTTCATGAAATATGGAAATAAAAATTTCAAACTTTTATTTGAAACTACTGTTTGCAATAAAAGTTTGCAACTTTTTGTTTGAAACTTCTGTGCAAACGCGGCTTAGGCCTATAGGTTACAAATAATAATTAAATTGACTACAAAAGAGTTTAAACTGTACTTACTTCTTATCAGTTGATATTGATTGAAGGAGATGAAATAATTAAAATTTATTGACGTTATATCAAAGATGAAACAACTACATTGACATTACAAACACACATTCCTTCTTCCTTTCAAAAACACGCAACAACAAGACCAAGACGAAGACAACGACAACGACAACGTCGACAACGGCAACAAAACAAAACAACAAACGAACAAACAAAACAACGAAACAACAACAGCCCAAACCAAAACTCTTCTTCTTGTTTACTTGTTTTTCTTCTTCTTGTTCTCCCTTTTTTCTATTTTGTTTTTAAAAAATCTGGCTTGGCTTGGTTGAGTTTACATGTAGTTACACTATTTTACACGACTGTTCTATAAATTTTTCCCGGGGTTTTCCGAAATGCTAGCAACAGCAACAAACTTCTAAATCGTCAAAGAAAGACTAAAATAGAATAATCAAAATTAAAAAGTAAACACTTTCTACTATCAAGCTCATTTATGTATGTGTCATGTAGCTGTTTTTTCTGCCGTAAAAGGAGAAAGGTGGTTGTGGTGAGAAGTCATAGCGGAGCTTCGTGGGTATAAAGTTTGACTTGACAGTGACATTGACCAGTGGCACTGATAGGTAGCACAGTCATCTTCAGCTTCGGCTTCATGTTCATAGTGAAGGTGACCGTGGTTAGCAGAAGCTAAGCTAAAGAATGGTGTGGTGTGGTGTGGGTTCTGGGTTCACCATTGGTATTTACTCAAGGGAGGTATAGAAGAGCCTTCGATGACGTCAGCTGTCGGATCTCTTGTCTTGAGGGAACGCCATTACCACAAAGATACGATCGAGCCATGGCGTGTCGGGCTGATAATCTGAAGGTGCCGAGCTCGAATCCCGCTGGTAGAACTTACTTTTTGACAACAATTCGTTTCATATCAGCAAGTTTGGTTGGTATGATTAAGGTTATGAATGTTTAATTCTATAATTAAAAAATTATAAAATTGAATTTGAGGCATTTATAATTTTATTTTATGAACAAAACTATTTTTTTCGATTAGTAAATCTTCATTCGATTTTTGTAATTATCAGCAAGTTTGGTTAGTTTGGTTGGGTTATGATAGTTTAATTTAATAATGGAAAAATTATAAGATTAATTTGGAATTTTTCTTAATTTTATAATTAACTAATAGTGAAATAAAAATTACTCGCCGTGCTCTCTAATACAACGCTGTTCAAGGAGGAATTTTGAACTAAGCTATGATGTCATCGTTGCCTCAATTATACCTCCCTTAAGTCAGACCCATTCACCCACCGTTCGTTCGGCGTTCGTCTATTTTCAATGTTTTCTGGTTTGCATCACGTTCTTTTAGGTTATGTTACCTTTTATTATGAATGGTGAATAGCTCAGGCCTATGCTAAAAAGCTAGCTAGAGTAATTAATTATAGTGTGTTTATTACATTGATTTTCCACTACCATGAAAGCTAAAGACAAAAATAAAAATAGAAATAAAGAAAAGGTAAAGGTATTTTCCAAAAAGAAGACCTTTGATCATTTTGATAAGGTCATAAAAAAACTTGAATCAGCCAAGGTGAGACATTTATTTACTTAGTTCCTCTTGTATTTCTAGATACCTTAATTTAACTTATAGGCTACCATTAGATACCTTTGGGTTCAGTTCTGCAGAGAATCTATGATTTATAATCTAAGTTACTGTATTAAAATATTATTATAGAGGGGGAAGATCCACAACCACGCACTGATAAGTACGGTAGGCCTATTGTTGAGACAATTGCTGATGCCATCGAACATAACGAGTCAATTCTTTCTTAGACTCTGCGATCTGAGCAAGGCTTTTGATGTGGTGTCCCGTAAGCTAACTTAAGTTACGGTACTGATAGGCAAAGTATGTTGTGGGCGGAATTGTACTGAAGTCCTTGTCCTGTTATCTGGCAAATCACAGGCAAGTAGTTTCAATAATGGGGCCTTCTGCTGCTTCTGCATCAGGAATATCTCACATGGAGTGCCACAGGGCTCAGTGCTCGGCCCTCTCCTTTTTAGTGTGGCGGTGAACGACTTGAGGCTAAATGGCTCCACCCTCATCTTCGCTGACGTCACCACCCTGATATCTAGAGGAAGCGACATTGAGCAACTGCATATTGAAGCTGGCCAAGAACTCGTTTAGGCCTACAGCAAACCGCCTGAAATTAAATGCAGCCAAAACTCAGTCCTTGCTCTGCTTACTGAAGCCACATAACGAAAGGGATGAGGCGGTTAAACTTTTAGGGTTCTGGTTGGATCCCAAACTGAGCTGGAGCTCACACATTGATAGGATATGCGGATGGCTATCTAGGGTAATTTGCCTCCTAAGGAAGCTTCTGAACGTCATCCCAAAGCAATTCTTGATAACTGTGTACCATGCTCTATTTCATAGCCATCTTTTACAGCTTGATACTTTGGGGTCATTCACCAGCAGCACTGGACATATTATTGCTTCAGAAAAAAGCTGCAAGAATCATAATGTCAGCTGACTACAGGCCCCTTTTTATTAAAGACCTGGGCATTCTTCCAGTCTTTAGTCAATACGTATTAACATCCTAATACTTTTGAAAGAGCCATCTGTTCGGCCGAAGAGAAGTTCATCACCGCTATGACATTCGGCAAGCACTACATCTGAGATCAATCAAAATTCTTTTGCTAACCTGTTCAATACCAAAAACAAATTTTCCAAAATATTTTTTTGGTGATTTTAGGTTTGTAGCTGAAGAAAGTGTTAGGTATTCACGCTATGCTTCATTGACTTTGCGTACGTGCCTCATCATAGGACCGCAGTCGTTTGTTGTAACCGCTTGTCGACTTTGGAATGACCTCCCTTTAGCCATCAAAGCTCTTGATAATCGTTCCTGGTTTGTGCAGCGCTAAAAAATATGGGTAATTATGTCGAAATCCAGTCAACGTTCTAAAAATTATTTTTTTTTTATATGTTCTTTTTTAGTGCTGATTCCAAAAATGATATTCATTTTTGGCGGAAACGTCCCGTTTTCCCCGAAAATGGGAAAAACGGGAAAAATATTTTTTTGCCCAAAACCCATGGTGTGCGTACTCAAATTGTGCGGAATTTCCTCCTGAACAAGAATATGTAATTTTTATTACGATCGGACCACTATTAAGTAAAATATCACCGGAAAAGCGGCCGCTGGCTACTTATGTACTGCCGCATGGCGCTAGCATTGCGGGTGACTCTAAGCCATTGTAGAATGCGGGCTTTATTTTGGGTTAGGATTGGTTAGGTTAGGTTAAGTTTGGTTAAGTTAGGTTAGGTTAAGTAAGTTTAGGTTATGTTAGTTTAGGTTAGGTTTGGTTAGGTTAGGTTAGGTTAGTTTATCAATAACATGAGTTTTGTAAATAAATGAACCTAAAATTGTGGAATGCGGGCTTTATTTAAGGTTAGGTTTGGTAAGGTTAGGTTAGTTTAGGTTAGGTTGAGTTTGGTTAGGTTAGGTTAAGTTTGGTTAGGTTAGGTTAAGTAAGTTTAGGTTATGTTAGTTCAGGTTAGGTTAAGTTTGGTTAGGTTAGGTTAGGTTAGTTTATCAATAACATGAGTTTTGTAAATAAATGAACCTAAAATTGTGGAATGCGGGCTTTATTTAAGGTTAGGTTTGGTAAGGTTAGGTTGAGTTTGGTTAGGTTAGGTTTGTTTACTTACAATACTCATGTTATTGATAAACTGACCTAACCTAACCTAACAACCTTATCCTAACCTAAACTAACCTAACATAACCAAACTTAACCTAACCTAACCTAACCTAACTTAACATAATCCAAACTAACCTAACCTAACCAATCCTAACCTAAAATAAAGCCCGCATTCCACAATTTAAGGTTCGTTTACTTACAATACTCATGTTATTGATAAACTAACCTAACCAAACCTAACCTAACCAAACTTAACCTAACCTAACCAAACCTAACCTAACCAAACCTAACCTAAACTAACCTAACCTAACCAAACTTAACCTAACCTAACCAATCCTAACCCAAAATAAAGCCCGCATTCTACAATGGCTTAGAGTCACCCGCAATGTTAGCGCCATGCCGCAGTACATAAGTACTTAGCGGCCTCTTTTCCGGTGATATTTTACTTAATAGTGGTCCGATCGTAATAAAAATTACATATTCTTGTTCAGGAGGAATTTCCGCACATTTTGAGTACACACAACATGGGTTTTGGGCAAAACAATATTTTTCCCGTTTTTCCCCTTTTCGGGGAAAACGGCACGTTTCCGCAAAAAATTAATATCATTTTTGGAATCAGCACTAAAAAACGAACAGATTTAAAAAAAAAAAAAAATTTTTAGAGCGTTGACTGGAGGTCGACATAATTACCAAAATATGTATTTTCAACGTATGGCCATGGTTGGTTTTTCCTAGGGGCTCGTACGTGTGGTTGGTCGCTGACAGGTGTGCTTTGGTGTGTGTGTGTGTGTGTAAGAGAGAGGGAGAGGGAGATTTTTGTACATTTTATAATGTAAGTAATTTTCTTTAAGTAAGTTTCTGTATTTATGATTTACATTTCGTTTTGTTGTATATTGATGTAATTTTTAAATATGTGTAGGCAAATATTTATGTACAGGTTAAGTCAAACTTTTGCCTGTATAAATAAATAATTTTCCATTTAATTTCATTTTCACCTTGACATGCTGCGAAGTCGTCTCACCCCCACCCTCAAGAGCTATTCCCACTATGCCATGAGGCTTTTTAACACCTTGCCAAATAAGGTGCGGGATATGAACATCACCTCTTTCAAAGCGGCAATCAGAAACAGCTTAGTAAATAGGCCACTGTATTCGCTGGAGGAGCTGAGCGAAGAGCCCCAAAAGTTACTTAGAACCACTTCCCTAAAAATGTGTTACAGTAGAGTCCCGCAAACTCGGCACTCGATAACCCGGCAGTCTGGATAACTCGGCCATCACCTGGCTCAGAAAATTCGTGATTTTTTGAGTCCGAGTTAAACATGGGCTCGAAAGTCAAACCATTCGCAACTCGTACCAAGGATTTGTTGTACTATATAATGACTTAATACTGACTTGTAATATAAAAATAAATAAATAAGGCAGCTAAAAGAAATAAAAATTGTATTGTTCTTATTTTTAACCCTAGTTCCCGAAAACCCGGCATTTCACAAACTCGGCACCGTTCCAGTCCACATTACGCCGAGTTTGCGGGACTCTACTGTACTTGTTTTATTTACTGCCACAGCCTGGTCAAGTTTTGTATGTAGGCTATGTAAATAGTAGTGTTATATTTTGAAATGTATATATTTTATTAACGCAGTCTATCAGACATTGTCGGTCAACGACGTAGCACACAAGTATCAAGTAAGTAAGTATTCAGATAGAAATGCCATGACCCTAGGGTAACTCTGAACCAAGTAAAAACACCATTACATAAAAACGGATTAGCATCCGAACAACTGGCCATCATGATAAGAGCTGATTTGTAGCAGCTGATAATGAATGATAACACGGAGTGCCCTTAGACCTTCTGATAGGAATAGTTGCTTGCTCTGTGTACTTGGTTTCCGGCAATACATTTTTATATGGCTCAGAATTATCATGCATAGTGCATGAGAATGGGATCAGTGGTGTGTTTTCAACAATGTGTCCTTTTGCTGGGTCACATTTTCTTTCGCTGTTCTCAGGCCTATTTTTATATTTATTTGAATGGCAACCACCAGTTTACAATAATACATAAGCCTCAGAAATGACATGTCATTTGTATGGCACATGCATGCAGCAAGATGCAGAAGAAAACATATGGATGCGTAAGAAGCTGTGACATGATGATGAGATTTCAAAAATAGTGAGAGAGAGATTTGCATATGATGCTAAGTGACGTTATTAAATAGACCAGTGTAAATTGATAACAATATAAACAATGACAGTAAATTAACATGTGTAAAACAACAAAACGAAGCACTTACGGCATTTTTAAGGGGGGGGGGGTGCACGCACTAGGGCGGCATGGCACGGACAGACGGGCAAGCTAAAACTGTTAGTCCTACTTCGGGGGAGACCATGAGACCAGTGGAGAATGGCGGTGACCAGTATTCGCAGCGTTTGGTCGGTATGGCCAGTACGGCAGCTCGGAAATGTCCTAGAGTTCTGTCTCTCGGACTTTTTAACAAACGAAAACAGCAGAAGCTGCTGGAAGTCCGTTGCCGGCTATCCCACCGTAGTGAACACACCCATATTACATTCGATGTATCCCAATGCTATTTACTTCTAAAAATTAATTGCTGTGCAGGCCGCCGGACATGAACGTTAGTCATCTTCACCGCTAACCACCACGCGCCCGCCGCCCCGCCACCTGCCGTGGCTGGGCGAGGCACGTGCCTAGTGTGCCTTTTGTTAAGTCCGCCACTGAAGATGTAGGCCTCAAATAGAAACAACAGTGTAAACATACCACCTAGGATTCTTGACCACCTAGGTCAAGACCATTAGGTTGGCCTACCAGTTTGATTCATGCAGTTTTACAGGCTATGCTTTGGAGTTCATTTAACTTTATGAACAAGATATGTGTAATGCAGTGTATCGTTTAATATCCTAACTTAATTTAAATATATTTACAGATTGATATCTCCCAAGTAAGAACGTTTACTGACCTGCCATTATCTCCACCAACTCAGAAAGGACTCTCTGAAAATGGCTTTGAAATTCCAACAGAAATACAAAAGGAGAGTTTGGTTTACAGTTTGCAAGGCATGGATATCTTAGGGGCTGCCAAAACTGGAAGTGGGAAAACGTTAGCATTTCTTGTACCTGTAAGTAAACCTATTCAATTTTACATATAAAATATTAAACAATCCCACATAGGCCTCAGGCAAATGCGTAGAATTGAAAGGAAGTGGTGAGCCGAAAGGATGTTACAAGAGTTGAACTGTAGGCTACACCTACTGATTCAAATAATGATTAAAAACTAGGTGAAACCCGTCGAAATCGACGGTTACTTTCAAGGCTTGCGCTAACTTATCTAACTGCGACAAATTGAGTGAAATTATACATATTTTGAGCATTTAGCATTGTTTAAAGAGTAATAGGTGTAAAAACAATAATGATATTAATTGCGTTAGTTGCCAAATATGGTTGATCATTCAATGAATAAAATATTTCCCATACTGTACATCATCGGAGTTATTATTAGTATGTTAACTGGTACATCTTCTTTTAGAAGAACCTTTAGATAGTATTAAAATCATATTGGTGGATCTTTTGTAGTTAAAACTTCCGCGATTTCATCTGTCTAATAAAGATTAATCTATGATTTTATTTGAGAAAAATATCTGTTTATTGAAAAGACACGTTCTAACTTAAAAGGGAGGTCCATCCGTTACAGTGCAAGTTTGATTTTTCCTTCATCACGTCGCGTCAGTTCATATCGTACTTCTGTGCCAATAAATAACCCTCTAGCATAGTTTTGGGAAATTGGTTGTGGGGATGTTGAAGCTAATAAGACACTTCTGCACTTGTATTATTTTGCATTGTATTACACAATCGAATATTTTTCCAATGATTTAAAACATGTATGGCAATAATCTCATAGTATGATAAAATATAGCCAAAAGTTGTGAAAAAGGCAGACACCAACCCGTACAATAGATATAAGATAGTTCAATAAGAAATAATTGTTAAATAACAGTTACTGTGATAAAATGATTTTCCACTGATTTCGTAATGGAACGTTATATTGCAAAATATGACATGATACAAAAGAAAATCAATTTTAAAATCACAAAATAACATTGCAAATACTTCTTTTGGACCATTCAGTAACTCCCAATAAATGTGTGTTGTTTAAAATACAATTTTAAATTAACAGCTGTTTCATTAAAAAGTATTATCCATATGGACAAAATGTAAACAAATCTGTGGAGGGATCTTTGAGGGCTTCTGGTGCAGAGCCCTAACGGGATTCACTTAGTTTTTCTTTTGGTAACTCATCTAGGGACCAACGCCTTTCTTTGGACACCTCTACCAAGTTTCTACGCCCAGTCCTTCTCTCAAATTAATGGAGACAAAGTTTCAAATTAAATATTTAGATTCCCCCATGTTAATCTTATGGGAGAAAATCCAACTTTGGTGGAAGATCCTGCCCAAACTAATAAAGATTTCAAAAAACTAAAAAGACTTTGCAAAACTACAGATCAGGGCCATTCATTTGACACTTTAATCATCAAAATCGGTCCAAAAATGAGGGAGGAGTTCTGTTTACAAAAATCGGCTTAGCGTATTATATATATAGATGTTGGGCTACCAACTGAGTCACCAACTCACCCTCACTGCTGGTTGTAATTTTCTTTACTCTGTAAAATGTTTTTAATGTCCATTCAAATCAAGTGTCAATATAAATCGTTCCAATAGCCCATCGTGTAACATAAAATATTTAAATACAGTAACTTAATTCATTGAGATTTATAAACTCTTTTTTCAGATTCTTGAGACTCTTTTCAAAAAGAAATGGACTCGAATGGACGGTGTTGGAGCTGTGGTTATCACTCCTACAAGAGAATTAGCTTACCAGATATTTGAAACTCTGCGTAAGGTAGGATTTCACCACGATTTCTCTGCTGGCTTGATCATTGGTAAGTATATCAAACACATGATGAAATTACTAGCAAGTCCCTTGGGTGTCCTCTAACCAAATTTTCTGTTCTGTATAAAATTACTAGGATCATTAAAAAAAAATCCATGCTCACAGCTATCAGAAGTTTTTAGAACCAAATGACTGTACCTTTCTTTTTATTGTTCCAAGATTGAGACTTTATGTTTGAAAAAGTGTTAGTGCCCAATATCTAGGGACGTTGTGATATCACCAATCATCTAAATCTAAATTTGTATCAAAATTGCAGTATCAATACCATAAGTATTTAACAAGTAACTGTACAGCTTTGAATCATATTTTGTAGTTACTAAGAATAACCTATAATGTTATCATATCACTCATTTAGTAATATGTCTATTAAAAATCATAGCTTGATTTGATGCCGAGACTGATAACACTGGAAGCGGAAGAAAAGTATTACAACGTCCCTACTTATATGTGCTAAAGTATTGTTCTGTACTTTGTGCCATAGTAGGTACTGTAAGAATTTTATAATACTTATTTCACTCGTTTTTGAACAATGTTGTACTGTTTCAGGTGGAAAAGACTTACACTTTGAGAAGCACAGAATGGACCGAGTGAACATTGTGATCTGTACTCCCGGCCGTTTGCTTCAACATATGGATGAAAATCCTCTTTTTGACTGTGTAAACATGCAAGTAAGACCTTATCTAGTTGTTCAAGTCAAGTCATTTGTGCTAAACAAGCTTAACATTTATTAATATTGGACTAAAAATCTAAATTATTACTGTTTGTCTTACGTCTGGTGGTTTGAGCTCTTCTAGAGGGTTTCTTTAAATCCCAAAAGTCTGTGTCCAAACACTTAACCTAATGATAATGGCAATAATTGTGACCATGCTAGATCGGGCAAACCTACTTAAAACTGTTGATCATATCTTGATAAAAAATATAAGCCCATATATATTTACCTCGTGCTCTAGAAAGAAATAGGGTATATAGGAAAACCTTCCAGGCGTTAATAGAAAGTTTACTGTGATTTTTTTATTTTTTTATTCCTGCACAGATGACACCATTTTTATTTTATTTCGTTGCTTATGACCAGGACTTTTGAAAGGTTAAAAATAGTGTACGAAAGTCTTTGTGTTTTAAGGTGTCCATTTTTATATTCTTTAAAATCAAACTGAGTTTATACTTAAACCGATAGGCCTATTGAATTCTCGGCTTGGCAGTGATTTCTTTTCTGTAAAAAAGGCTTGTTTGACATATCACTGAACTTTAATTCACTAATTAATTGATTTTTTCAGATATTAGTTTTGGATGAAGCGGATCGCTGTTTGGACCTTGGTTTTGAAAAGACGATGAATAGTATAATTGAAAATCTTCCCCTAAACCGGCAAACTCTATTGTTCTCTGCTACTCAGACAAAGTGAGTTTGGCTTGGTTTTGTAATTATGGTTGGTTTTTCCAGAGCTTTTACGACGTATAGTCTGTGCAACTTCATCTCAGAAAGTTTTGCCAGTTTATTGAGATTCGTAATTGTATCTTCCATTATGTTTCCATAGATTATAACATAACAGTGAGTGTATGCGCTTTTATAAATTTAATGTATTTTTGGGTCCTAGATTTGATGTACGTTTGGAAAGACAAAATGCCTAGTAGGTCATAATAACCTAAATAACACTGTTTTAGTAAAAAAATTTAACAAAGAAATTGCATATCACCTACTTAGTAGGGGTCTGCGGTGCACCGAAAAAGTCGGTACGGTACGGTACAAGCTTAATTACCGTCATCGGTTCGGTACAGCATTTTACACGGTACAAATTCGGTTCGGTACAGCCTATTATAATAATAAATTACTTTCAGTTTACTATCGTAGTCAACGGCAGTTGGTTCCGAGCACATAAAAGTCTTATCAGATGTTTGTTTACGATCTTCATAATTTATTACTAGCGTGATGATGCAATAAAAAACCCATAAGCAGTCCCAAATCCATTAACATTTTATCACGACAATAATTGTTGTATTGAAGTACTTCCAAGAACTGTTGAGTTTTATCACTTTTATTTCTTTACGACTTTCCCAATTCTGTTTTATCATAAAAATAATAGTTTTATGATGACTGTTAAATGTTATCTCTAACTTAATCAGTATTTTCGTGAATATTGAATTTGCCGCTGGCCATTGCCTACTGCCATAAAACTGTTTATGGCTACATATTAAACTTGTAACAAATCTACAATCTTATTTTATAAATTAAATATTTGTTATGGATATTTTATCTTTCTATTGACGACCATGGATATATACAAACTTTTGTCGTAATTTTAATTTCAACATCAAAATACAATATTGCACAATCGTGATATTTTAGGCCATTGACCTTTATTATGCATCCGGTATTGCTGTTTCAGAAGAGAAGCATGTTGATAAATTATAAATTGATATTCCCGTAGTTAAAAAGAATATTTTATAAACCTATAAAACAAAATCATAAAATCTTACATAAAGATAACAATAACGGAAATTGTAAAAAGGGTATAAAGATAACAACGTCATTCTTTCTCTTTGTTCTTCTATTTCTTGGGTTTCCCTTCATCACGCATTCAACAAGTTGCCATGGTTACTAATCACCCATGTCGTTATCAGCTTTTGTGACATAGCGCACAGCAGGGGGTAAAACTTGACGAAAATCGGTAAATTTTTACCTATTATTTAATTACCAATGAATGTACGGTACTACTTTATTGGTATTTGGTATTGTATTAATAATCGGTCCAAATGGCAGATTTTTGTCAAATTTTACACCAAATTTATTGAAATTTCAAGGTGAATATTAATAAAACAATTATTACCAAATATTTGTATTCATTTAAAAGATTGATTTGTGGTATTGGGTTCCCCACTGAGTGCAGCCGAGCGGCACTAATGAGGGTCGGACCTTCTTGGGGGTGAACAATAGACGGCTTATCTAGGGGTGTGCGATGCAGCATATTTTTTTCGATTCGATGCATCGATGCGATTCAAAGAATTTCGATTCGAATCGATGCGATTCGATTCGATGCATCACGGCATGATTTTCTTCAAAAATTAAATACAACATGTGTTTCTGTAATGGATCCTTTACCTTAAAAAAAGTTAAAGTAAAAAATGTACTAAATAAAATTATGAACAAGAGGATAGTTGCTGACCTAACCTCATTAATGGACACTGCTAATTTTATGGTTGGCCTAAGGAAATTCACCCTTCACTAACAATTAGAATAAGCCTATATATCAATAAAGCAATCGTTAAGTTTATTATTATTGACCTGTATTAAATAAAATAGAGTTTATTTTATGACGTACGGTAGTATCGTTACTTAGTTTTCACATTTATATTTTTGGCTTTCAATACTTCTGGTTCATTCTTAAATCAGCACGAACCAAAAAAGTTGATTATCAGTGTTTACTGTCTATTTTAGTGATGGTCGGATCCGGATATCGGACGACCGGATCCGCCGGATCTAAGCTAGAACCGACGCCCGATCGTATCCACAAAAAATCGGATCTTGGGCTGGATCCGGTTTTAATGGATCCAATTTTATTTATACTATTAACACAAAATGGACGAGTATTCGAGATTTTGAGTTTGAGTAAAGTACAATATAGAAATAAGCAAGAGGTAGTTGTCCTAACCTATTTTTATAGCTGTCACGACAGAATAGGTCAACTCAAAGCAGTCGCCGGCGAGCGGCGACTGACTGGCAATGGCAATGGTATACTGACTTGACACAGAATAGAATGACATGACCGGTAGTGATTTTGTTTTAAAGTAGGCCTAGCCTACTGTTTCACAATAGAAAATTTCACTACTGAACTACTTAAGCAATAAATTTATGTTTATAAAAGTCAGAATAGAAACACTATAAAGGCAAAACAATAGACGGGAGGCAGGCGTTGTGCAATGACCTTGAAATGAGCGGAATAGTAACATTGAGTAGGGGAAGGGAAGGGTGAGACCTTTGAGCTATATTTAGACTAGACTTTCACCACTTCCCAAATGGCTGGGTACGGGGATTACAATAGCAGGTTTTTTCCTTGCCTGGTTTGACTTTTGTCTTTTTGTGTAGGAGATTTGAATAATCAAAAATATAATTTGAATTGACCACAATTATTTAGCATTGATAATACAATTTGCAAGGGACCAGGAGGAAATAGAACAAAACACTAAAATTAATAGAATAACAAACAAAGTAAACAACAAATTAAATACAGAACACGGTGATTTAACACTGTCACTGGCACTCAATTTTGTTGTCTAGAAGGGTCGGTGAACTAATCAATAAATAGCCAAAACCAGTTTCCTCCCCCTCTAACCACCACCCCTCCCCCCTAAGCCGGGAGGCCCAACACTTTGTCCTTGAAACACCCTAGCCTCTGAAACAATAAACCCTTACACCTGCGTTGCTGTTTTGACAACAGGTTTATGAATGCGTTCACTATTTTTCATTTTCCAGAATTAACTATCAATTATTATTATTTGCAAGTTACAAATAGGAAACTACATGACATTATGGTACCTATCCAATGAATGACCCATGTATTATCAAAAATTTATAATTGATTACTTATTTAAATATATATACTGTATATATAATCATCAAAGTATCTGTTACTTTATACAAAATAAAATAGGTACAAAATTGTGTGGCCAGTCAAAATTTATAAACAAACATTTTATTCTATAAAATACAGATGGTAAATAGGGGTTGGTTTAAAGGAAATAAAATACAAAACAGATTAATTAATTAGAAAGGTTATGGGATTGATTGAACTAAAATAACCACAGGGAATCTTAAGTAGAAAAGTCGTCAACCACAATCTGTTTCTTGTCGATTGGCTGACATGACAGTGCAGCGTGGCCTCTCGACCAATGAGAACTCTTGTTACATACTTTGATTTATCTTAGATGGTCAACATTTACCATTCATTATAATATTACAAAATCGACATGGACTATGCGTATGGTGTTTTTCAATCAAAACTTATGTTATAGTAGCACTTAAAACTTCACTTAAACTCTTAAACTAGGTAAATAGTACAGATATAACATGGATCTACTTTTTGGTGCAATAGGCAAGTGCAAGCCTAACCCTCTGACTTCGATGTTGTAATTGAATCGAATTTTTCTAATGATGCGTAATGCAGGGATGAAACTGAACATTTAGACAAGTTTAGGTTATTTATTTTGTTCTAAAAATAAAAATAATACATTTAAAGATCTGACTTATTGATACAGACATTTTTTAGTATAATTTCGTGTTGAGGACACTCGCGCGCCGGTTGTCTGAGACTGAATTCTGACTGTCTGACATCTTGAAATGTAGATTGTATTGTGTTGTGCAATATCATCTGCCTGCAGAGAGAACAGCTGAAAATAAACTTTAGCTGTTTTGAACTAAATAGTGTGCTAAGTTGGTTACTACAGTTGTTAGCGTGATTACAAAACTAATAGATATCAAATAAATAAATGTTAAAATAAAATATCTATCCATCCCTGTCGGCTGTCTGTATCGGCGGAATCGGGCGAAATCGATGTTTGGCAATCGATTCTTGATACCGATATTCCTAGTATCGGCAATGTCCGAGTATCGGTGGTAGCGATAATTGACACTTCCCTATCTAAAACTCATTTTGGAGTCCTGAATTAGTTTTAAATATGCATCGGGACGTAATCGTTGCATCGGGAGCTAACCGATGCATCGGTCTTTTTCGATGCATCGAGGCCAAATCGATGCATCGGGATTTCGATGCATGCTGAATCGAATCGCGATTCGATGCATCGAATCGAATCGAATCGAAATTTCGATGCATTTTCGATGCATCGCACACCCCTAGGCTTATCAGACCCTCCCCTCCCCCGTGGTCTGGAGAAAGCATGTAAACAAACTATTGCACAAGCGTGTGTGACTTGACATTGAGCTGCTTCAACTATAATTTTGTCAAATGAACTGTGATGTTTCAAAATCAAAAACAATAATTTGGGACCATACTGCTTAACAATAATGGACTGCAATTATTGTTGAACATACAATCCATTTTTAACAAACTAAGATTATACGATTCAAATACAATTATAAAAATTATCTTGGTATTTTACTTGGGGTAATGAAGTTATGTAGGCTAGTGTAATTCTCGGTTCATCAAGGTTCTACTGAATTATGTTTGGCAGTGAATAAGTGTAGAATGCAATTTATAAATTCAGGGATACACACCTTTTACACAGTTATAAAGTCTAATTGCCCAACATCAAATCTTACTCTGTGATAATCCAAATTTTAGTTTCAGAAAAAAACTTTGCAAGAATTGTATCCATCTTATAACTTAACTAGTTTTGAAGCTGATAAAAAAAATGGTCTTTGCCATTACTTCATCATAACCTCCAGTTTTTCATTGTCATCTGCTGTGAACAGCTGGCAAAACTACACTGTCTTCTACTGAATGCTTTTATATGTTTTTAAAATAAAAAAAAAAACAACTAGACATTGTGTTGGTTGGAAATAATTTATCAGTTTTGTGAAATTATCTTGTCAATAAATGTTTCAAACATGTTTATTCATAAAAACTCTCATCCTATTTTTAAACTACTTTATCATGGCTATTCAAAGTATCTCAGAGTAAAATAGGTAAAGCCTTTAAATCTCAACTGTGATTTTTCTTGACACAATCCTCGTAGTAGTAAAAGGTTTTGTTTTTATAATATGTGGTACAGTAATTGTTGTTAGAAAACCATGAATGTAGGATACTATCCATTTTCATAGTAATGTCTATGTATTAAAGTTAAAAATAATGGTTTGGATACAGTTCTGAGAAGAAAACCGCAAAAATACGGGTAGCCGCGTACCGTACCGATTTTGTACCGAGAACCGAGGTACAAAATATTGTACCGTACCGAACCGTACCGACCTTAAATTTTCTGTACCGCAGACCCCTACTACTTAGCAAATTTTTTTTAGCAAATTCATTAATTCATGCAGCAGTATGGGAGTGTGCAGCCCTAAAGTTCTCAACGACCCTGGATTGATTTAAACCCTATTCTTTATTTAGGTATGCTTTATTCACTGACAAACTCACCAATATACTCTCAAAAAAGTCATACACTAGGACATAATATCATAGGTCTGCTAAATGTCTGTTTAAAAAAAAAACCCCTAATCAGGTACATGGCTTGCTCTTAAAATATATGCTTAACTTAAGTCACAGGTATATTTATTAGCTTAAATTAAGAATGTCAGATCTATAAACTTATACTAGGATTGCTTTCATGGCAGTAAAAGCCAGTTGAGCGGAGCAATCATGTTTCATGGTTTTTAATAAAGCAATAAATGAAAAAATGTTTATAGATATAATACAAAATACTAATGTTCCACACTCTGCACTGCTAGCCTTTACTACTTCCTTCACAACTTACACAACCTACGTCGTGGACTAGTTTCCCTCCCATCCCATAGCATTTTAGGATTGCCGATACATTAATCAAATTATTAATCCCATAGTTTTTAATATTTATATACATTAATCTAACTTCCCCAAAATGGTCCCACACTCTGCACTGCTAGCCTTTACTACTTCCTTCACCACTTCCTACGTCGTGGACCTTTTTAAGTTTGCCATTAATGAGATGGATCCATAAATGTGATCCACCGATTCACCGACGAATTGTTTAAGATAAAATGTTATTTTTTATAACGTTATTTAGCTTTGTAAATCAAATCTGATAAATTATTATTATTATTATGATTTTATGGCCAGCATTGGACCACTTAAGTCAATAAAATGGTTAGATTCTTTTTAAATTCTGTCTCTTCTTCTTGTCTGCCCAATACTTTTTCATTCTTTCCGGCCGTTTTTTTCTTTCTTCTTCCAAAACCACTCTTCCTTGTTTCTGATTGTTTGCTCCTATTGGCAGGATGATATTTTTGTCTTTGAGTACTGCAAGCACCTCTAACTTATTTTCCAAATCTTCTAATGATATTTTCAACCTTCTCATGTCCTCCTTAATCTCTGTAATCCACCTAAAGTCACTCTTGCTATTCCACATTTTGTCAATTATTTTATTGCTTGTTCTATTTTCCGGTGTCCTTAAAAGATGTCCAATGAATGAAATTCTTTTCTTTTTAATTATACTTGTCAATGGCTCTATTTCCTTATATACAGTTTTATTAGAGGCCAGTCTCCAAACTCCATCTTTTTGATATTTTTTGTTCATGTTCTGATGATTCTTCTTTCTACTTTTACTATTTTATCTATTGCTACAGTGTTAGTTGTTTTAAATATAGTTTCACTTGCATATGTTATTTGTGGAAGTATAACTGCTTTGTAGTGTTTCAATTTTCTTGCTATTGATAGGCATTTTTTGTTGTATGTGTTTTTAGTAATATGTTGTATCATAGACTAAGCAACACAAGTAGACTCCTCATCCCATTGTAAATTTTGAAGCTTGTTTTTTGTATCTAGTTCATGTACGTCCACACTGATCGCTAGTGTAGACAACATTTTGTTTCTATTATTTTAGGGTTATTTTCATGATTTCTGCTATACTATTTGGTTATATAACTAGGAGACCTGTTATTGTTTATGATTATATCGTTTTATTATGTTAAACGAGGTTTTAAATGACTGCAACAACAAGAAACAAATTGTAAACAAAACATAACCTCTATAGTTGGACGTACAGAACTAACAATAAAATTGGCTTCAGCTGTTCCATTAGGATGACTAATCTACTAAGGGAGTATGTTTTATGTTTTATCTATGGTTGTATTCTGATCAATTTATTAATTATATTTTGCCATGATGGACTTTCTTTAAGATTGTATGTTATAACTTCACCTAAGTATTTGAAATTTTCTACAATTTTGATGCAATGTTCTCCAATTTTGATTTTGTTAGCCAATGGTGGTTTTGTTAACATTATTTCAGTTTTTTCAAAAGAAATTTTTAGACCTGTTAAATACTGTACCTAAGAAAGTATTTTCTATCCATGACTGTACCCATTCGATCAGTGGTAGTTTCCAAATTGCGACTTAAATATAAACCTAAGACTTTCTCTGTATTATATTATTTGATCAGTGGTCATCAGAATTCTCTTTACTTTGTACTGTGTTTAAGCCGTAGCTTGATCTCAACATACAGTATGCTATGATTCTTTGTTTTGTTTACATTTACATCGTTATTTTGTAACCATCATGGCAACCCGTAAGGCCAATGTTAAAATTAAAAAAACTTTGAGTTACTTTTTAAAATTATATAGGCATTATCAAAAATTGAAATTGGTTACGTCCAAACCATCCAAACATGTGACAAAACAACCTTGGTAAGTTAGGCTAAAATATGTTCAGCTGTTATTGAGATTAAGGGTTATAAAGATTGCATTGAAGTTGATCCCAAAGACCTTTGCTTCGCTCCGCTCAATTAGATTTTATTTTGTTACATTATTGTTTTCAGATCGGTACGAGACCTAGCCCGGTTGAGTTTGAAGGACCCTAAGTACGTGTCAGTACACGAGAATGCTCAGTACAGCACTCCTGATGGCTTGACACAGAACTTTGTCGTTTGCGAACTTCACGACAAAATGGCGTTTCTGTGGTCTTTTATAAAAAACCATTCCAAACATAAAATATTGGTGTTCCTATCCAGCTGTAAGCAGGTATGTAAGAATAAATATTTTAAAATAAATTAGCTTGTCTATGATTTCTGTTTCACTTTCCTGTTTAGAACTTTTGTATTTGTTTGTTTGTTCACCTGATTAAAATATTAATACAAAAAAATCCCACTAATTGGAACCCTACTCATCCGAAACCCCTGATGGGTAAGAAGAAACACAGGTGTGATCGGGTTCTCAGTAAATACGGACATTTTCACAACCCCTCAGAAGACAGGTATCATCTTTGGAAAATAACTAGGTGGCGTTCGCAGAGGCATCCACAAAATTGAGTGGAGTCATCAAGAGTTCATATTATATTGTTTTTGTCATACTGCAGTAAAAACAGTAGTTTTTAATGCATGCGTTGCAGGTCTAAAGTAGCATTTTTACACTTTAGGGGGTAAAAATAGTTTTTGGCCTCTATGGAGTAAAAATCTGCTGTTGTCAACTCAGTTGTAAATTTCGATTTTAAACGGTTGCATTTATCGAAAATGTGTATCAATTTGTGCTTCGTAATCATTTTAACCTACAGTCTACAATCTGTTCCCATAGCATTTTAGCATTGCAGATACATTAATCCATTCCCACACTCAACACTGCTCACCTTTACTACTTCCTTCACCACCCCCTACGCCGTGGACCTGTCTCCCTCTCTTACCATAGCATTTTAGGATTGCAGATACATTAATGTAATTGCCAAAAACAGTTCCCACACTCTGCACTGCTAGCCTTACTACTTCCTTCACCATTTCCTACGTCATAGACCTGTTTCCCTTCCTTCTGATAGCCTTTAAGTATTACAGATACATTTATCTAACTGCCCGATCGGTTCCCCCACACTGCACTGCCAGCCTTTACTACTTACTTCACTACTTCCTACGTCGTGGGGCCCGTTTCCTTCCCTTCTCATAGCATTTTAGGATCGAAGATACATTAATCTAACTACCACAGACGGTTCTCACACTATGCTCATACTTTACTACTTCCTAAGCCACTTCCTACGTCGTGGACCTGTTTTCATCACTTTCCATAGCATTTTAGTATTTTAAATACGTTAATATGATTGCCACAAACATTCCCCTCACTCCGCACTGCTAGCTTTTACTACTTCTTTCACAATTTCCTATGTCGTGGGCATGCTTCCATCCCTTCTCATAGCATTTCAACATTACAGATACATTAATCTAACTGCTACAAACTGTTTCCAGTTCCCACACTCCACACTGCTCACCTTACTACTTCCTAACCTTACCTAAATGCTCTTCCTACGTCGCGGACCTGTTTCCCTCTCTTCCCATAGCATTTTAAGATTGTAGATACCTTAATCTAATCGTCATAAACAGTTCCCACACTCCGGACAGATCGCCTTGCCTACTTCCTTCACCACTTCCTACGTCACGGACCTGATTCCCTCCCTTCCCTTAGCATTATTGGATTGCAACTACCTTAATCTATTGGTCATAACCAGAGCCCACACTCCGAACAACTCACCTTTACTACTTCCTTCACCACTTCCTACGTCACGTACCTGATTCCCTCCCTTTCCATACCATTTTAGGATTGTAGATACCTTTAATCTAATCGTCATAAACAGTTTTCACACTCCGGACAGCTCGCCTTTACTACTTCCTTCACCACTTCCTACGTCGTGGACCTGTTTTCCTCCCTTCCCATAGCATTTTAGGATTGCAGATACCTAATCTAATCGTCACAAATAGTTCCCACAGTCCGGACTGCTCTTCTTTACTACTTCCTTCACCACTTCCTACGTCGTGGACCTGTTTCCTTCCCTTCCCATAGCATCATATGATTGCAAATACCTAAATCTTATCATCACAAACAGATCCCACAGTCCGGACTGCTTGCATTTACTACTTCCTTCACAACTTCCTACGTCGGGGACCTGTTTTCCTTCCTTCCTATTGAATTTTAGGAATGCATTGTCACCTTAATCTAATCGTCATAAACAGTTTCCACACTCCAGACATCTCACCTTTCCTACATCCTTCACCATTTCCTACGTCACGGACCTTTTTCCCTCCATTTTCTTACCATTTTAGGATTGTAGATACCTTAATCTAATCGTCATAAACAGTGTCCACACTCCGGACAGCTCGCCTTTACTACTTCCTTCACCACTTCCTACGTCGCGGACCTGTTTTCCTCCCTTCCCATAGCATAATAGGATTGCAAATACCTTAATCTAATTGTCATAAACAGAAACCACACCCCAAACAGCTCGCCTTTACTACTTCCTTCACAACTTCCTACGTCGCGGACCTGTTTTCCTTCCTTCCCATAGAATTTTAGGAATGCAGATACCTTAATCTAATCATTATAAACAGATTCCACACTCCAGACTGCTCACCTTTAATACTTCCTTCACGACTTCCTACGTCATGAACCTCTAGATAGTGTCGTCATTTGATTATATTTATAATCCATTCCATTTCTGTTCTAATATCTGTGGAATAATGCTATCGGCTATTTCTTTATCTACTGCATTCAAAAGTCAACAGCTGATCTTTGTTTATGTGTCAAATACTGCTTCCATAAGAATTACATTGAAACTTTGAGACCCAGTGGGGCGGATTCCTGAGAGACTTTTTTAACGCCATATAGATGTTGGCACTCACTGATATGGTCTTTATCACCATGCAAAATTTGAAAACGATTGATTCAGCCGTCTAGGAGGAGTTTGCGTATTACGAGATGCATAAGAGTCGACGTATAAGAGCTTCGCTCGCTCCGCTCAATAATATATATTGCCATGATTTCTGGAGAGTGAAGACAATGCAATTTTACAGCATTTCTGGATAATCTTAACAGGAAATGGTTGAAATTAGTTTGAATTAGCAAGACTATTGTTGTATTCTTTGTAGAGAAAGGATTAAGCCTGTCTGGTATTTGTATGGCTAACAATAAAAAAAACTGCAAAAGAATAAATAAATTAAAAATGTTTTTTATTGAATTTTTATTATTATTATCATTGGTCAGCTACTCATAATAATAACTGTTAACTAACTGTTAATAATAACTCATAATAACTGTTTTGCTTTTCGTTAAAACGTAACATTGTTTTAGGTGAAGTACATGTTTGAAATACTGTGCAAGCTGCGACCAGCTAATGCACTGCTTGCGTTGTATGGAACATTGCATCAGGAACGGAGAATGAAAATATACAATGCTTTCACTCACAAGCAGCACGCTGTATTACTGGCTACTGACATTGCTGCTAGAGGACTAGGTAAGAACACATCTTACTGCTAGTCTGAACTCTTTGAGCTAAGTGTAATTTGCCTTACATACTAATACTTTTCATTTTTTATGTGTATTGTGCAAATTTGGTGTCATATATGAACTTAGTTAACTAATACTGCCAACTCCAAAAAAATCCATGAAAAAATATTTATAAATCTAGCCTCTAAAAGTAGTAGGAAATTGCTGAATACAAGAGTCCAAAAGATTACTTTCACTTAGAACCGGTATATGAATTTTCAGTTATTTTAGTTTAACATTTTCTTTCTTATTCAGGTAATGGCATGGGTTGAGATTGTGTAATCATTTTAAACTTCAACCAAATATTAAATCCAAGGACAGCGGTTATTTTATTTGGTCGGTTAGCTCTGCCCTGCCTCACTGAAATACTTGCAGTAAAAAATAATAGCATACCAGAACAGTTGTTTGGTAGATATAGGTTCTTGATATTGCAATGCAATTAGAGGTGTGCGGATATCCGAAAAATCGGGTCGGATTCGGTTCGGTTCGGATATCCGTATCCGAATCGAACCCAAATTCGATATCCGACACTATCCGTTATATATCCGACTTTTTCGGATAGACAATATATTTTGACGTTTTGGACAGAAAACTAAATCTCCATAACCACCATTAGTTTCCCAGGACAAAATTACAGCAATACGTTTCCAACGACCTAACAGCAAACGGCAAAGAAGCCGTATGATGCAATACCGATAACTAGTTTAGTCGTTATCGGCTGTTTTGCTTTACGATTAGATTCGTCTGGAACGAACAGACATAAAGCAGAAAACAACTACCATGGTCAAATGAAAGTCAACTCGTGCTTGTCTCGCTCCTTATACTAGGGGCGCTGCGTAATAGTTTTTTTACAGTACTGTTTCAAAGTAGAAAAATCTAGCCTACTACTGTGATGTTACGTAAACAATAGATTTAATGTTTCCCGAAAAAAAGTCAGAATATAAACAATAGAAAGGCAACACAATAGAAGGGTGGGAGGGGTTGGGCAATGACCTCGAAAGGAACGCGGGTAGTGAGTCAAGTAGAACCGGAGGGGGAAGGGGTGGGTAAGACCTTGAAGCTATATATAGACTACTTCCCTAAACCTAAGGACTGGCCGGCGAGTGGTATTCCAATCACATGACAAGATACGTTGTTTTTTGGGTATTCATTGCCCGGTTTGACTTTGGATTGTCTTACTGTGTAGAAACTTTGAATAATAAAAAATAAAGTTAGAACTAACCACGATAATTTAGCATTGATTGTGTACATATTAAATGATTAAACGATAGGGACCATGGATATATACAAACTTTTGTCGTGATTTTAATTTCAACATCAAAATACAATATTGCACAATCGTGATATTTTAGGTCATTGACCTTTATTATGCATCCGGTATTGCTGTTTCAGAAGAGAAGCACGTTGACAAATTATAAATTGATATTCCCGTAGTTAAAAAGAATTATTTTATAAACCTATAAAACAAAATCATAAAATCTTACATAAAGATAACAATAACGGAAATTGTAAAAAGGGTATAAAGTAGGGATGGACGAGATTGGATTTTTAGTTCGAGACGAGACGAGACAAGATTTTTTATTTCTCATAAAATTTCGAGACGAGATCGAGACGGGATTTCCCTTCTCATACACAACGGGAAATGCACGTTCAAAATTTTTACCTGATTTTGTAACATTGTTAGATGACTGTTTAAATACAAAAATAATGATAATAGGCAAGAATATTTACCGTACAATCTTTTAACAAAACATCAGCATAACATTTTTTTATTAATCACGCCTAACTTATTAAAAATGCCTACGATTAGGAAACATAGTGATATCAGTTAGGATAGAGTTTAACTTATCCTAAAATAAAATAAATCATAAAATAAAAGCAATATCTATATATATAAAATCCAATGTATGTTTGTATATTTGTATGTTTGTATATTTGTATGTTTGTCCTTTATGGACTCCAAAACCGCTCGACAGATTGTAATGAAACTTTCAGGCATTATTAAGCATTATTCAAGGATGGTTTGTGTGAAGTTTGGTGCAGATCCGTCAATAGGGCTCCGCCCCAGTGGCTCTGGAGTTTCCCATGTTAACCTTATGAGTACTCATATTTAAATGGAATTAAATAATCTTAACAGCTGGTGCAAATAAACAATTTGATTCTGTGATGTTCAATAGTATTAAAAAGTTAATAGGTTTACCAACAGGGTGCAGCACTATATTTATTTTTAATTTATAAGAACAGTAAATTTGCAACCAAAAGGTGAGTGAGCGTAGCGAACGAACTTCAACCTGGAGGCGAGTTAGCGTAGCGAACGAGCTAACCTGAAGGCAAGTGAGCGCAGCGAACGAGCTCCAACCTAAAGGTGAGTGAGCGTAGCGAACGAACTTCAACCAGGACGTGATTGAGCCATGCGAACGAGCTCATCTTGAAAATGAACGGGCATGTGACATAAAACCACAATAGGACAGGACGACGTCTGTCGGGCCAGCTAGTTAATTTTTATAAAATAGTTACTTGTTTTGACTTTTTATAGTAATAAAACATTCCTCACACTGCTTACACTTAACAAAACTTCTCAAATGTTATTAAAGTAACTAGAGAACCCGTGCGGCTCAATGAGCCGCATAGTATGAAACACAACGCCGAGGAAAACGTTATGCTTAAATTCGAGTAATTCTAGTTACAGCTTAGAGTTGTTTAAACACATGTTAGAAACTAATTTTAAATATCTCTATTTGTGTCGTCAAGGTTCGCCTACATTATTTCTGCTCTTAGTTTTAACTGATAACTTTTAATGAATGCTAATCGATCTGCTTCAATTTGAGCAAACATGTTGCAACAAAGTTTTTCCAGCGTTGAGAATTGAAGAAAACTGTTGCCTAGGCATCCCCCTAATCAAACAAATTTTCTCCGTAGAGAATCCTAAAAAGTGGAGTTATCAACCATTAAATGTGCTAAATGTTTTACCCACAAACTCTGGGTTATCAACTGGAAAGCCATAATCTGCTTTGAATAGGCTAAAGCAGCAACACCATTGATAGTTTGTTAACGTGTTGTGTGTTGGTCACAGTATATGCCCCGCATCAGAACGTTCTCACGTTGTTCAGTGGGGTTTCTCTTAATACCTGTCCCAAAGTTTGGAAAGTATGGATTCATTTTTCGAAATAAGTTGGATAACTCTTGTAGCTATAAGATTTGGATAGCAATTTTCATTTTCTCTTTTTGAACAGCGTATATTATTTGCCTCTTCTGAATCATAAAAATAAACTTGACTGTAACTACTCGATCGTTGAATACATGAACACTAATTCCTTCACTTATGTCTAATAATGCCACTAAAATTCAGTAAAAAAACTTTGTATCAGTTTGTCCGAGGAACTGGCAACATAACCTAGAAGCAAACAATCCATTTCTGTTTTTCCTCAATTAAAGTAGAGCGAGTAATACAAAAGTTTACAATAAAAACATGAGGTCCGCCAAGATGTGGTATAATCTTACTACTTGAACTTATCAACTCAAGGCATTATTATGGTTTCTACTAAATGTTTTGAAATATCTCGATCTGTCAGTGTCATAAGTAAAAATTTCTTGCATAATGCATACATTCATTTGATCTGACATTAGGAAAGTTTTTTTCCACCGTGACAACACTATGTGCTTCGTATATTTTTTTACTTCCACAAATATTATTCATCTCACCAAGTGAATGTGTATCTGTTAGACCAGGCCCCCCTTTCTCTACTCTCCTTATACGCATAAGATACCTTGTTATTAATTGTCTCCTCCTCCCGTTTTCACAATTTCTTCTTTGAACTTCAGACATTTTCCGTTCTTCCAACAAAACTGATTAACTGTTTAACTTGGTCTTAACCTACTGAATACTAAAACATTAATATTTACTCCCAAAAAGCTAACGAGTTTCTTTTTATAAAAACAGCTGTTTTTTGTTTTTAAATTTGTTCTGTGTATTTCTTATGGGGATAACCCGACCTTTGAGAGGGTCTCACGCCCTTAAGAGTAAAAATTTTTAAGTTCTAAAACCTTATTGCAAAACTACATATTGAGACGAATATTTTGACACCTTAAACGTTGAAATTGGTCCACAAATAAGGGAGGAGTTGCGTTAACAAAATACGGCTTCACGTATTATATATATAGATATTATTAAATTAATTAAAGTAATATTTACATTTAAAGAATTAATTAAATAAGAACGCCTTTGCAAAGGAAACGCAACTACAACACGCTCCTGTATTGCGGGTATTGCATTGACTTTCTGCAGGCGTTTTTAATTTTTTTTTTTTTTTTTATTCTCGTCTCTATAAAAATCTCGGCCAAAAAGAAATCTCGTCTCGTGTAACGAGATTTAAAATTTCCCGAAATTTCGAGACTTGACCATCCCTAGTATAAAGATAACAATGTCTATTCTTTCTCTTTGTTCTTCTATTTCTTGGGTTTCCCTTCATCACGCATTCAACAAGTTGCCATGGTTACCGTACTAATCACCCATGTCCTTATTAGCTTTTATGACATAGCGCACAGCAGGGGGTAAAACTTGACGAAAATCGGTAAATTTTTACCAATTATTTAATTACCAATGAATGTACTACTTTATTGGTATTTGGTACTGTATTAATAATCGGTCAAAATGGCCGATTTTTGTCAAATTTTACACCAAATTTATTGAAATTTCAAGGTGAATATTAATAAAACAATTATTACCAAATATTTATATTCATTTAAAAGATTGATTTGTGGTATTGGGTTCCCCACTGAGTGCAGCCGTGCGGCACTAATGAGGGTCGGACCTTCTTGGGGGTGAACAATAGACGGCTTATCAGACCCTCCCCTCCCCCGTGGTCTAAAGAAAGCTTGTAAACAAACTATTGCACAAGCGTGACTTGACATTGGGCTGCTTCAACTATAATTTTGTCAAATGAACTGTGATGTTTCAAAATCAAAAACAATAATTTGGGACCATACTGCTTAACAATAATGGACTACAATTATTGTTGAACATACAATCCATTTTTAACAAACTAAGATTATACGATTCAAATACAATTATAAAAATTATCTTGGTATTTTATTTGGGGTAATGAAGTTATGTAGGCTAGTGTAATTCTCGGTTCATCAAGCTTCTACTGAATTATGTTTGGCAGTGAATAAGTGTAGAATGCAATTTATAAATTCAGGGATACACACCTGTTACACAGTTATAAAGTCTAATTGCCCAACATGAAATCGTGAGCTAGAGCCCATCTTAGTGCATTAGTGATGTTTTCTAAACTTGGCAAACCCGCAAAATGCCACTTAAGGCCAATAATCCGTTCCAAAAACGTAAGGAAATACAATGTGAAAATAAACTTGAGATCGAACTCCTTGGCTTGTGAGAACCAGGAAACAAGATAAAACATAACCTCAAGTAAACAAGCCCAAACGTTTGACATCAGTCCTGCTGAGCTAAGGTGTTGTGGGAAGATTTCGGCTGCTAGTGTACTTAATTCAAGCAACTAACTTTTGAAAATAAATGTTGTGAATTCCGAATTGTGATTTTCAAAAGAGAGAAAACTGTGAACTTGGCTAATTTGAAATTCTATAGTTCAAAATCGTCATTTAAGTTTATTTACACAGCTTTACATTGTTTTATAGGTTAAAAATACATATGCAGCTTATTATTAACCGCGCCGAACTATCCGAATCCGAAAATATCTGAATCTGAACCTCCCAATATCCGATCCGATCCGAACCGAGCCTCAACTATCCGATCCGAATCCGATCCGAAATGAAATTTCACTATCCGCACACCTCTAAATGCAATGTATTACCTTATTCGATTTATTTGAAGCAGACATAGGCAAGTGCTGCCGGTGTGTCTGCTAATGTACAAGATGAAACTATACAAATTTGTAAAACGATGTCAACTACATCTCAGTCTAGGCCCTACTCAATGCAATTGTTTGCAACTTGTCTACTTAATTATCGATTATTGTCAGCAAGTGCTGACACTATGAATCTCATATTAAAAATCTGCTGTTGCCAACTTTAGATACAGTTATCTAATCAACACATAATTTCTGCAGATTTCCCAGAGGTCAACTGGGTCATACAGCTGGATTGTCCCGAGGATGCCAACACGTACATTCACCGTGCAGGACGTACCGCTCGCTACCACAAGGGCGGAGAGTCTTTGCTGGTGCTGCTACCTTCAGAGAGAGACACAGTGTTAAAACATCTTGAGGAGAAGAAGATACCCATCAATGAGATCAAGTAGGTCTTGGTTTTTGTCATGATTTAAAACTATTTGATTCTAAATGTCTCTGTTTTGCAATTTGCATGTTAAACATCATTTTATTCTAGACCTACTTTGTTCAACAATACAGAGACTTGTTTTAATAAAGAGGTTGAGGTTCAGAGGTTTGTTGTTACATGATTAGGTTATTTAAGGCATTGTCAGTAACAGATTATGTAATTAACCGTAGGCCTACAACGTGATGAAAATTAAAAAAAAAACATGTAGTTAATAATGGGCTACAACATATTTTTTTTAGGGATGTAACAGAACACAAGGACCTAGGTTTTTAGGATTTTTGTGAGGATAGAGGGCTTACCAGAATGGGAAAAGTCAAAACTGTGTGTTTTCAACTAAGGAAGAGAGAGTTTTCATTATGACTAATGTTGTGTACTTTTGTTAGTTTAACTAACCTATTTTATAAATTTATATTCTGGTTTGCCTCTCCATTTTGGATTTCCAAGGAACGTGCATACTGAACTCAGATGCATTGAGTAATATTAATAATATTAATCAAATAAATAGGCTTCTAATAATGATAAATATTTACTATATTGAACATGCATTGATTAAATTTTTCTATGTGAAATACCTTTGTATTTTTGCAGAGTGAATCCAATGAAATTGACGAATCCTCAAGTTAAAATGGAAGCTTTTCTTGCCAGAGATCCAAATCTGAAAGCTTCTGCTCAAAGGGCTTTTGTTGCTTACTTCAAATCTGTGTTTTTAATGAAAGACAAAGAGGTTTTCGACATCAATGCCCTGAATCCTGACACTTTTGCAAGGTAGCCCATTAACAGTTTATAATTGATTTAACCACCAGATATTAAAAATAACAGTTACCGGTATTTAAATGTTGATCTGCCATCATCATGCCTGTCTTACCCTAACTTGATATTTTATAAAATCAGTTATTTTATAGTCAAGTTCCTTTTATGAGCCGCAGTATTAGGTTTTAATGCTATCAGAAAGTACTAATGATACTCAATCGTGATGATTTATTAATCAAATCTTGTAGTAGTATTTACTAAATTAAAGGGGTCAAGGGGTGTGAGGAAACATAAAGAAAAATTCCGATTTGTTTACTTATTACTCCTTACACATAGGTAATCAATAGATTCCAGATTTATTCATGTGTTAATATTGTTTTGCGTTTAGGTCTTTAGGTCTTGTTGTATCTCCAAGAATACGATTTCTTAACAAATACAAAAATCAAATTCAGAATGCTAAAAAAAGCAGAGATGAACTTCCCTCTTTGGAAACCAAAGATTCTGATGAAAGCGACAATGACCTTCCCAGAGCAAATGTCATTCAACCGCCTAAAGAAGTGCCAAAAGGAAAAGAAACTTACAACTTTGGTGGAGGTAATGGACATCAGTTTTTACAGAAACTGTAAAATTATGTTTACATTACAATTTATTTTACTTTTTTTATATATTGAGAGGCAACCATTACTTGATGCTTAATATACGTTTAATTTGTTTTTGTAATTATTTTAAAGAATTTTCTCATGAGTTTTTGACCTAATGATGTTTCTTAAGTCCTTGAAAGAAAGTAAAAAGTTTTAAAATATGTGATTGTGAAACTTAGTTCCAATCGATAATGGTATTCATATTACTTAATCCTGAGAAGGATCAATAATCCACAGTTTTCCTAACAAGTCATAGTTAATTAATGACAAGACAAAGGTCTATGCCATCACCTTAGTGATAAAAAAACATTATATACATTGATAGAGTAGATTGAGTATTAATTACACAACTTACCCTGGAAAACATAAATCATGTAACTTTAATTTTAGATGATAGTGAGAGTGATAATGAGTTCTTAACCATCAAAAGACAAGACCATCAGCTGGAAGTCGATGAGAAGGATGAAATCACAGATTTATTAGAGCAAATGCAGAACAAGTCAAAGAAAAAACCTCTGACTAAAGCAGCATTGGCCAAGAAAGTTTTAAAAAAGAAAATCATCCCGAACAAAAAAATAGTCTTCGATGAAACTGGAGAGGTAATTGTTTAAATCTTGATTTTCAATTTTAGGCTTTTCTTTGGGGGTACTAAGATGAAAGATTTCTGCAAGTTTGTTTACACTTAGAGAGTTCTTTTTTACCTGTTATGGTCAGTCCAAGAGCGTTAAATCATTGACTAAGCAACACAAGTAGACTCCGCATCCCATTTTAAATTTTGAAGCTTGTTTTTCGTGTCTATTTCATGTTCACACTGATCGCTGGGGTAGAGGAAATTTTGTTTCTATTATTTTAGGGTTATTTTCATGATTTGTGCTTTACTATTTGGTTATATAACTAGGAGACCAAATATTGTTAAAGATTATATCGTTTTATTTGGTTAAATTAGATTTTAAATGACTGAAATAACAAGAAACGAATTGTAAACAAAACCACAACCTCTGCAGTTGGATGTAAACAACTAACAATAAAATTGGCCTCAGCTGTTCCATAAGGATGACAAATCTACTAAGGGAGTATGTTTTATCTATGGTTCAATAATCTAAATCATCTGAATAATGTTCTTTCATTGAAGGATTTTTCAAATCATTGTTAGTTACATCCATCCCGTGAAAGACTGCTTATGAAAGTGAACCAAACAACCATTTGTCATTATTGGTCTATTAATTATTGATGCCCATGTAAGTTTTACTACAAAAAGTTTTCAAAAATTATAATTTTCAATTTTTTAATTAATATTACACAGTTCTCTATACTGTATAAACAAAATAAATTTAATAAAAACAAATTTTAAATAAATACTCTTTTTTAGACCCAAGAAGATCAAATGAAGGCGAGGACCACAGAAGAGGGACGTCAATACGAAGCAGCAGCTGAAGGTGGAATCGACATTGCTGAAGCCCAGAAAGTTATGAGAGCTGAGGATAAGATCGACAGGAAACTATTTCGGGAGAAGATCAAAGCAAAACACAGAGAACAGAGGCTGAAGGAGAAGAAGATAAAGAAGAAGAAAGACAAGGAAGACGAAGACGAGGTGGAAGTGAAACTTTACAGTGGAAGCGATAGTGAGGGAAGCGGACCTGACTTGTCTTGGCTGCCGGACCCAGACAAGGTGTTTGGAGAGAAGGGAACGAGAGAATCGGACAACGAAGACTCAGCAGAAGAATCAGTTGATGAGGCTGAGGTTGAGAGGAGTAAAAGCAGGTGAGTTAAAATTCCTTTTTGACTTGATCCAGATATTGTTGAAGCATTAAAACTAATGTTATTAGTCATGCTTTTGATTACAGTATTCAAACTATGATCTTTCAAGTAAAGTTTATTTTACAATAATGTGTGAATAAAATCATGCAATTTTTTGAGAAATATATGAGCAATTAATAAGTATTCCCAAATTTAAAAAATGTGGAAAGGAAAGCTGATGGTATTGACAAAAAATGCCAAATTAATTGCCAAATAATTAATTAATTAATCTAAATTAGACACAGTCAAGAATCTTTATTTGTAGTATACATAGTTTTACATGAATAGTGTCAAATAAGTTAAAACTAATGCTTAAAACTTTGATAAAGCCATTTTCAATTTGTCTAAAGAGTACAAGGACAGGTCCATTAAATATTCCTTGAGACGTTTTTTTAAAATGTTGGGTTTTGTTCTATTTTAATTTTCAAAGGAATAAATTTAAAAAAAAATCATGTCCTGCATTGACAGTCTTCTTTTGAAGAGCTCTAATTTATGTTTTCCAATTACAAAATTATTTTTGTTACGTGTATTGTAGTTATGATTATTTTCTTTAATTAGTGGATTGAAAATTTTGTTTTTGACAAACATAATACATTCAAGAACATACAAACCGTAAACAGTGAGGATCCTTAAACGTTTAAAGTGTTCTTTTGCAGAATCATCTTTGTTCATTTTTAACATAGCTCTGATTGATTGCTTCTGTATTGTCAAAATTTGGTCTAGATTCGAATTTGAGGTGGCTCCATATACACATATGCCATAAGATATATGGGAAAATCAATGGGTTTTTTAGGTCTCAAAAGAAGCCGGAAAAAAGAAAAAGAAACTCTAAAAAGGAACCAAAATCTAAGAAGGTCAAGAGGTTAGAAGAGGATGAAAATATCAGTGAAGATGAACCTCCGGACACAGGCTTATCTCTTGTGGAAGATGAAGAACTCGTTTTGAGATTCTTGTCAGATAAAACGTAACTGTAAGAATGTTTGTGCATACGTACTTTTGTAAATATATATTTGATTTTTAAATGAGTTTATTTTGCCCTGGCATAAATCAAATTATTGCAATAAAACTAGTAGGTTGTGCCTTTGGCACAAAAGCTTTGATGTAGTGGTGCGGATTTCTACTTCCCAAAAATTCCTATCTATTAATATAATAGAAACCACTTTATAAACACTTGTCACTAAATACATTTCCATTGTATTATTTATTTAGTACAAAATCATTATTAAACAATTAAAAAAAAATAAATACATAATTATTGTACATGTTTATAGGGAGATAAAAATGAAGATTATACATGTTCATAATTTACACATCAGATACAGGAATAGATTAGTTGTTAGTAAACATTATGTTAAAAAGTTACTACAGCGTATGCCTAAATACCAATTTTTAGATAACAATAGATATTATCTAGAAAGTTAAACATATACGTTATGAGCTTATTGCTGTATTTTTTTTCCAACGGTGTTCTAATGGTTGTTTTACATGATTTTTGGACCTTAATATAAATAAAGATCGTTTAAGTTTTTAGTTGCCCTACGGAGGTTTTTGGAATCTGTTATTCAAGTATTTTGTAAAGTAATATAATCTTTAGGCTCTTGGTATTGAGTGCTAATAACACTTTAAGAGGACAATAAGAGAGGTAACAACGGTTTTTTGAAACATATTGAGTCAATCATGCATGAACTATTTGGTGTTGTGCACAACAATTTATACATGCATCTAAGCGTGATGTTTCATTCAGTCAAGTCTTGGCTCGATGGTTTTCACTTATCACAAAAGACTTAACAAGTTTGTTCAAGCATAAAACAACTGACGGCTGGCAGATGAAAATATTTTTTTTCTGCCTTAAAGCTTACAACATGTTTTATGCTTCTGACTTCAAGACCACCTCTAGTAGGAAAACTTTAAAAAATGTAGTCAAAAAAAGTCAAAACAAGGGTTCCAAAGCTGAGAACTCTTGGAAGCACTATTTCAATGGGCTACTTGACGAGTATTGTCAATGTGGATCTTTGCATGGGTTGAAATACATCAGAGAACCCTCCATTCCTAGAGCAGAAAGGTAAGGACTTTCCCTCTAAGTTTGTGTCGCGCCAACAAACAACCTTTACAGTGGAATTGTAGAAAGTTAATAGTACCTAGGTTTGCTATAATTAAATTTAGGCTACATCATACTACAACAGAAACAGGTACTTTTCCATTTATATTGATAGGCTGGAAAGTTGCCATTTGCCATACCTACACACGGAAAAGAAACGTAATGTACTTTTATCGTATCACACTTAGTAAGCTGATGAAATAAATAGCTTATTGCAATGGCCTATTTTATTATGTGACATATAAAAATTTTATAATTTATTTTATGTCCCAAATAAATTGTGTTATGAGTTTAAAATGTACTAATTTTTCTGTGTATTATTTAGGTAAGAAAAATTTGTACATTTTAAACACTTTACACAATTTATGTAGGACAAAACATAAATTATAATATTTAATATTTTTATATTTCAGAAAATAAAATAAGCAGTTGCAATTGCCTGTTTATTTCACCAGCTGACTAAGTGCATGGTAAAAAAAAAGCTTTTTACAGAAGATACCTGTTTCTGTGTAGTATGATGTAAAGTATTGTACGTTACTTGCCTGGTAAGCTTTACCGTACACACACAAAATCCTGCTCAAGGCGTCGTGCTCGCATAGTAAAACATCACTTAGGCTAGTATTGTAATATACTATCAAAAGCCTATCAATTAATTATTGCAATAAAGTTTACAAAATAATATGTTTGACAAAGTCATCCTATTTAAACCATCAATCATATCCCGTTCAATATAAGTTAATTATTTTAAAATTTATTTGCAGCCAAAAAAGGTTGACTGTGTGTTTTACAGAAATCTCTTCTATGGAATTAGTACTCTTCATACGTAATATTTAAAATTATTTAAGAACCATTTATAGTTGGATACCTGAGTGTTCATAGGCCTAGTAATCAACAGGTTGCTGGTTTGATACTGAGAAAAGTTTGTAAACAAATTATTGTAGTAGCCCCGGAACTGTAATATATAAAATATTTGGTTTTACATTACCTTTATTAGTTACAAAACCAAAAGTAACCTTCGTCAATGTGTTACATGTTTCGGCGGAAGCGGGAACAGACCAAAACTCTGGTTGTGTTCCCGCTCGTGTACCGGCAATGTTGTATATTCGTGATAGTCCTATCAAACTAAAAGTATTTATTTTTATATTGTACATGTCGTGTGTAAATGTTGTTTGTCGTGTAATGTGTTATGAGAACAAAGCTATTCAAGCGGATCTACATATTCCTGTAATGAAGTGTTTTACAATGGCAGCTCGCGACGAAGTTTACTTTTGGAACTGATAAAGGTAATGTAAAACCAAATATTTTTTAAAGTTTGTAGCTTTGTCTTGGTTCAAAACTAGTCAACTATTGGGTGCAACGGTTGGTCCTGGCCAAAATGAAACAGATTGTCGTTTGGTCGGTAAAAAAGCTAGTCAAACCCTCATTCAATAGTACACTCATCCTACATTCTTATATGGTAGTGGAGTCCTAATCTTGGTAGTAATAATATTTGTTTGTTTCCCCCTAGATTGCTATGGTTGGTCATAATCATGACTTGCTTGTACACCAGCTGGAATGTTGTCATCAATTTGTATTTACAAGGGGCGGATCACAGCTTCTCTTTGGATATCCACCCTCAAAGCACTCCAATTTGGGAAATTCCATTTCCGGCTGTGGCGGTTTGTTCAAATTATCCGATCAGAAAATCAGTATTTGACATAGCCAAGGAAGTAGACAATAAGTAAGTAATTTGTTGATAATTACTTAAACATATGTCTATTTTTTATTCTAGCTTTGTGATATTAATTGGTCAACAATTACTTTTATGTTACAAATTTCAAAAGCTAGGTTTGTTCAAAGATATTTAAAAAGAAGATGACCTATTATGATTATGCAATACTGAGTAGGAACAATTATTTTTAGCTTAGTTCCCATTGTACCTATTTACTGCTCACTGTTGACATCCGCCATTTTCATAGGGGGTTTACTGGCGTTTTCCCATAATGTAGAGCAAGGGCATCCCTAAATTCTTGTGGGGACATGTCCAGATAAAGTTTCTTCAGAGGCACGCATGATAGCCAGCATCCATGTTTTGCTTTAGGTCCTGCTTTGTGCATTATAATTTTCTGCCGGTTTTCTGAGAATGTTTCCAAATGCTATCTGAATAATTCTTCCTTCTTCCATGGATTTCTTTACTTCTTATTCTTAACATGACTTTAACGACAAATTTAGGGCATATTCATGTGAATCAAAACAAAATTTAGTTTTCTCTTTTAAACATGATGTAAGAATTTTGCATCTGTCTTCAGACGATTTAAACATATAATTTGACTGCTTTGTTGGGTCTATTATTCCTATTCCTCCTCTTTTAACTGATAAATGCAGAATTTCCCATTTTCCTCGTTGCTTACTTCTGAACAACATAGATTTGGAAAAAAGATGTTCTAATTGCTTGTTGAATGCATTTCAGATTTAGTTTTGACTGGCCACCCTTTGAAAAAGTCAATTCATTTTGTGAAGATTTTGTTGCTACAGTGTAGGCAGATTGTGGATATATCCTAGCAATATTTTCCAGATTTTCAATGTTTTGGGTCCATAAACAGTTTTGTTCAGAAATGTGTCCGTTTAATTTCATTGCCAAGAATCTATGGCTGTTCTTAAATAAGTACTTTTTTGTCCATGACGCAATAAGAAATCTGTCCAATTTTCGGATGAACTTCCTCCTCAACCTCCAACACCATGAAGTTTTCTTGCTATCTTTTCTACATGTTCTGCTCTTATTTCTGCATTTTCAAGCTTTGGAATTTTGTCCATGCGTCTGGTAATTTTAGTAAATTAATGTCAGGAATTTTATTCCTGGCCTTTGGATGTTATTCTTTCTATACATCATAAACAGTATACGAGTTATTATCAATAGTTTCTTCCGGTTTAAGTAAGCCACCTATATTATTTTTATTTATCTGTCTTGAGGCTTCAAATCAAATCAAATCAAATCAATCAATCTTTATTCCGAGAAAACAATGTACAAAAATCATACAATGCTGTATAGGCTGCGTCAATATGTAAATTAATAAAACATTTCAATGGTCAAAACAATTGTCAAAATATTCATCTAAGTCATAAAAACAGTATTTCAATAACAAATTCTTAACAGCTATTTTAAATTTATCTAATGGTAACTCTTGAATATAATATGGTAGATGATTGAATAACTTAATCGAGGAATATTTAAAGCTTTTTTGAGTAATACTATAAGTACAGTAATAATTTCTTAGTTTAGCACAGTTTCTGGTCTTATAACTATGGACATCACAGTGGGAAGACAAAGTGTTTAAGTTCTTTTTACAATACATAAGACAGTGAAAAATATATATACAATTAAGAGGCATGACAGATAAACAACTAAAAATGGGCTTGCAATGAGTTTTCGGTGGAACACCAGCAATTAATCTAATAGCTCTCTTCTGCAACACAAATAAAGATTTTACATAACCACAATTAGCCCAAAGAATGGTACCATAGGTAAGATGACAGTGTATGTAGCTATAGTAAACAGTAAGCAGAACTTCCATTGAAACAACATTTTTTAATTTTCTTAATATAAACATACCTTTGGATATTTTAACAGCTAGAAATTCTATATGTGATTCCCACTTCAAGTTGCTCTGAATTAAGATACCTAAAAATTTAACAGGTTGTTGATGAGAATCTGTGTTAGCATAAGAAATTTTCAGGTCTTGTGTTTTATTTAAATTTAAAGACAGTTTGTTAGCATTACACCAGTCTACCATTGTATTAACAGAGCCAACGGTGATTCCATTCTGCAAGTCCTTATGAGTTTTAAAATTTAGACACACATCATCAGCATACATATAACAAGAAACACAATCATTCTGTAAATTATAAGGCATATCATTGACATAAATAATAAATAACAAAGGTCCT